CGGCCCCGGGGTTGGCTCGAGCGCCGGCGGCGGCAACTGCTCCATCCCCGCGGGCCCCGGGCCGTGTCCGCTTCGAGCTAACGGTCCCGCCAGCTAGGCGCGCGCGCCGGCTCCGCGCGCCATGTTCCCGCCGTGCCGCGCGCCGCCGAGGCAACCCACACCACCTCCTCCGCGACCGCGCACGCGCACGCGCGCCGCGCCCGCTCCCCGCGCGCCCCCGAGGAACACCCCCAGATCCACCGCGCAAGCGCGCACTCGCCGCGCCCCCTCCCCGCGTGCCCCGCCTCGCGCCCTCTAAGCCGGCCGCTGTTCCCGGCGTGGCACCCACCCCCTCTGCTCCAGTCCGGCCCTGCTGGAGCGCTAGCCGATCTGGGTTCGGCGCCGCCGCCTGCCGCACTGCGGAAGACCCCAGGCCAGGTTCCTCGGCCTCTTACTGGCATTGCTCCTTTTGCTTCACCCTGTACGTGGGGTCTGGGAGCGAAGGTCTGGACCACGAGGGAATCACCCCCAAAAAGTGCCGGGCGAAGACGTGTCTAAGATGAAGAGAGGTCGTCGAGGTGTGCGAGCACGTGCGCTACCGTAATTGGCAGAGTGGATCCCGGTGTTTCTGGGAGAGCCCGAATCCATTATTAAGACCCTTAGAATCCCGCATCTCTACTAACTTTTGCGTGATTAAGGTCAGGTGTTTGGGCGTCTGTTTCTCCTTAATCAGGAAGGTCTGACAACTAAGGTGTGTTGAGAGGACACAATGAAATAATCCAGATAAATTGTCAATAACCCGCCTAAGACGTACCAAGTGGTGAACGGGTGTCAAGACCTCTTTAAAAAGTTTTGCTTAATTAAATCTCACCTCCATCGTTTTCAAACTGGGAAAATTTGAGTACGTCACTTGATTGAGCCAGAGAATCGCGATTTCTAAGGCTGCAAAGGGAGAGTGGCAGAAATAATTCACAGAGATGAGCTTTCAGGATTCGATGCATGTGTGTCCCTGAGCACAATGTCTGGCACACACCAAGCTCTTCAAGCTTCACTGATATGACTCCGGCCCTATCCTTCCAAGACTCCTAAAAGTTTAAGGAAAGGGGCTCTGCTCCCAAACCTCGTGGTGTAATTAGCTGGGAGGGGTTCACTCAACCTTGAAGCTGGAAGGACCGGTACTTCCCACATCTTTGCTTTCCATTCTCTGCCCCAAACTTCTCTGAAAACCCTAAAGTTGGCAGAAAAACAGGAGCCGAGAATGTTTTCCCTAGTAAAACATAACTGTTTTAGGGATGAGAAAGGAGTCTCCAAGCTTCTCTTGGAGTTTGTAAATGGTTGAATTTATTAGTCTGATCTTTTCCAGATACAAGTGACAAAAAAAAGCCAACAACCCTCAGCCTGAAGTAAAATAAAACAGGGAACATACCGAAAAGTCCTGGGGTGTTACCTCATTCAGGCATAGCTAGATCTAGGCACTCCAACAATACCCTCAGTCTCTCTCCAATCTCAGCTCTGCTTCCCCCTATGTCTTCATTCTCTTCCCAGTGTCCTACCTCATATCTGACCAGGAAAGCAGGAGCTGATTCCCAATAGTTCCCTCCAAAATCCCAGGGCTAATTTTCAACCTCAGGTTTGGGTTATATGCCCTTGCCTGAGCCCATCACAAGATTGGCCAGACCTGGCTACATGGAGCCACTTTAGGAAACAGGTGCAGTCAAGTTCTCCTAAAGGACAAGGAGTGGGGGCAAGTGGGTTGAAGGATTTCTTCCCCAGGAAAATGGGGATGCGGTTAGAATAAGAGGTATAAGATAGAGGACTGGCACAATTAAGACTGTCCACTGCACCAGCATCACCATGGTGACCTGCACACAGCAGGTCCACCATAGAGCAACATGCTTGCTCTTCAGGAGTGGCAATTACCTCAATCTCTGGGAAATGCCCCTCCACCTCTGTCCCCACCACACACCCCAGACCTGGCATTCCTCAAATCTGCTTGGTCAAAGGCATCTCAATTGTCTACCCATGTTGTGTGCCCTCCAAAAAGCTGAACAGAGGATACTTCCTTGCTCATGAACTTTCAGTGGCTCCCCCCTGCTACTTATGTGGCCCTCCCACCTTTAATGATGGAGGCCTACACTGATGGATGGATCCCTTACCATGTTCATGCCAGGCACTTTAAATAGACCTTCTACCACTGAATCCTCATAAACACCATATGAGGTCGGTACTCTTACTTTGTACCGGCTTTGAAGTCACTTGCCCAAAGCCAAAGTCAGAAAATGCAGAGTTCAGATTAGCACAATATTGTTCTTACCACTGATGTCATCCATTTGCTCCACCTTCATTTGCTCAAGTTTCAAAGTCCTATGATCATCTTCAGCTGGATGGCCGGCCAGTGGGACGATCTCTACCAGGGAAAGCTCCTAGGCCACAGGTGGCAAACACAAGGCCCTTGGGCTGAATCCGAGCCTTCATCTGGTTTTATTCAGCCTGGCATCTTGTTTCTACCCTGAGGCAGCACCAAGCTCTCACTTAACTGTTAAGTAGTTACATTTATAGCCCTAAAGTTACATTTGGCCCTTTGAAAACAACCGTGAGGCTGATGTGGCGCTCAATGAAAATGAGCTTGACACCCCTGCCCTAGGTAGCCCTTCAGCTTCCTAGTGAGGGGTCAGCTGGACTCTTACAGCTTTATCACCTCCCCCTCCTCCATTTCATGGGATGGACAACCCTCTCTCCAAGAAATAAGAGGTTATAAAGTAAATATTACATGGCCCTAGATCAGCACCTACCTCTCCACTGGTGAGTATATTAGCTTCCTATGGCTGCTGTAACAAATTATCACAAATTGGGTGGCTTCAAACAGCACAGGTTTATTCTCTTAGTTTCGCATGGCTAGTTAAGGTGTAGGACTGGTTCCTTCCAGAGGCTTTTAGGGGAGAACCGATTTTCTTGCTTTTTTCCCAGCTTCTAGTGGAAGCCTGTATTCCTTGCCTTGTGGCCTTTTCTCCATTTTCAAAATGCTTCACTCCATCTCTTCTGACTGACTCCTCCTGTGTCCCTCCTAACAAACAATGTCATGACATTGGGCCCACCCCAAAAAGATAGGACAGTCTTCCCATCTCAAGACCCCAACCTGCAAAGTCTCTTTTGCCATGTAAAGGAACATATTCATAAATTCTGGGGATTATGAGAACATCTTTGGGAGCCATTATTCAGCCTGCTATGGTATATATAATCAGAGGAAGCTAATACAAAGTGCTCTAGAAACAGAAAGAGCTGGCTGACTGCCCCAGAGGGAAGAATGCCCAAGAAACCATAGACTTAACATTATTCAAATGAGTTAAACCCCATCTAACTTGGCAATCTCAACCCCATTCCTTTAAGTTATGAAAACCACCTAAATCCCCATCGCAACCCCAGGCCAGCCAAGCCTCAGAATACTTGCACACCCTTCTCATGGAAAATGCCAACCACTACCTCCACTGCCTGGAGCAACAGCTGTGTGCCCCGGAGGCTGCCCTGCCTGGCTCGCTGGTGGCATCTGAACTGAGGCACTCGTTTTCTGGCATGGCCAGCAAGCTACAATGTGGCATCAACCAGCTGAAGCTACAAGAGAAGCCAAATGAGTGGGTCACAGACAAGAGGTAGCCATTAGAACTATCTGGTGTCCTGGTCTCTCCCAGGTCCAGCCATCTGCAACCTTGAAAACAAATCCCCTTTTCCATGAAGTAACTTGAACAGGCCTCTTGCTCCTTGAACCAAGGTGTCCCAACTTTCAGATAGGGCTGTACCCACCTATAATTTAACACACTAACATTCAAGATTTTAGACATCAGTCTCTCTTGAGTTTTGTCAGAGTCGACATCTCTGAGTCTAATTAAATATGGGACTAAGGAAATGAAGAATATTAGAGTCAGAAAGACCTGGGTTGGGTCCCAGCTCTGCCACTAACAACTGTGTGACACTTGACAGGTCATCTTGTTCCTTCAGCCTGGGTTCCTCACCTACAACATGAGGGTGGTCAGAGGAGCTAGTAGCCCACAGAATCACCTCGAGGACTAGACAAGACCAACCGAGGGAGGGGCTTTACATGGGGCCTCTTTGATTATTGTTGGGTCAGCAGGACAAAGCCACATACTTTATCTGCGTTTCTAAAACCCAAACATCTCTGAAAATGAGTCACCCTTAACTCATCTGACAGAAGAGACTGAACTGATATGCCTTAAAGTCTTCTGTATCCCTTTTACTGAGAAATCTGCTGCAGAAATATAAATGTCTGGTTACGGGACTCTGCTGGTTACTACACATAATACAGTAGATGTGCCATGCAGGTCCCCTTCCTAAAATCATGAAAATACCGAGTTTTACAACGTATCCAGTACCAAGGTTTAAGGAACTGCGGTCTTGTATCTTCTTTTTAAAAATTTTTTATTGTGGTAAAATATACGTAACAAAATTTAACATCTTAATTTTTTCTTAAGTACACAGTTGAGATTAAGCACATTCACACTGCTGCACAATGATCACTAGCATCCACCTCCAAAACTTTTCAGCTTGCAAAATAAAAATTTTGTGTGTTAAACCAAAATTTCCCACACCCCCAGCTCCTGGTAACCACCCTTCTACTTTCTCTCTCCGTGGATTTGACTACTCTAGGTGCCTCATAAGTGGAATCATACAATATCTAGCATATTTCCCTGAGCGTAACTGTGGGCCTGTATCTTTACGAGGGCAAGGACGAGAATTTAAAACAGGTCCATGCACCCATGTACCTACTGTCTCAGGAGGACTTTGGCAGCCAGCCAGTCTCTATGGACTCCGCCCCAATTTCACCGTGACCCTTTCCCGGACACTTTCTAGGGAGCCTTTAGAATGTATATGCATCTGGCCCAGGCTGAAATCAGGGACATATCCTGAGAAATTTGCGTGCAAAGTAGAGTGACAGACAAAAAGCACATTTCAAATACACAAAAAAGCATGCCAACTAAAGAGCAGATCATCAAGCCGAAGCACAAAGCCCAGGTTCCATTAGGTTTTTAATTGTGTACCGATGACCATGGATATGTGACTCTTCCTATAACCAAAACACAAACTACCAAAAAAACCAAATATAAAGAAAATGTCAGCAGAGTTCCAGAAGATACATTTCTTTCATGTTCAACCAGTGTTCATGAGACAGCAGCACATACAGCCAGGCGTTTTGTGGTGCCGGCGTCCTCCGGTTCCCCTTCAAGGAGCCGTTTTCGGCTCGTAGAAGGCTAGAAAAAAAGAAAAGGAAGAAGTGTTCAAAGAAAACCACTGGCTGCTTGAAGAGTATCAAAGTTTCCCAATATGCTCCCAGTACATTTGGAGCATTTCATGTGAAACTCCTAGTACCAAGAATTACTGGTTGTCCTCACTGACATGTGAATCCCCACCAAGCCCCCAGACTCACATGTACTCATTGAATGGACATTTCTCTCCCTGTGGCTTCCCATCACTCAATGGTGTATATTTACAGTAGGCAGCATAACCAGCCTCCTCTTGGTCATCTTTTCATAAATCATGAATTTTAAAGAGACAGCAATACCCTTTACTGGGAGCCCAAAGTCTTGCTCTTTTGTGGGAAGACAGCCTTTTTTTGTGTTTTTGTTTTCCCATTTATAAAATTGCAAGGCGAGAGGGGAAAAGGAACATTATCATTTACCAAAAGGCAAACAAGAATGAACAGATGTTAACTTATAAAGATCATGGGGGGAGTAAAATTATAATCAATAAATCATCAACCACTCTCCCAATTTTAAATGTTTCAATACATTCAAATCTGAACCTCTAATAGAGTCTTTTAATCTTGCCTTGCAGGAGACTTCTTGAATGACAATCCCTAGCTGTGCTTCCCCAATGTATTAAGAATATTCTTCATTATTAAATCTTCTAAGAGTACGAAAGCAGATCAAGCTGAAACAAAATATCTACCGCATTATTCCCTAAAAAATAAAACTGCTATTAAAGAGGTCCTTCAAATTCATCATCCTTGCTCACAGGCTCTTTAAACTTGGCCCACATGTAATGACCACCATCTGGAATACCTGGGTTGGGAGCTGGAGCAAAGCTGTTGACTTATTTTCTTCAAAAAGCAAATTTTGAAATTTTCTCTTCATGTCTTCATCCTATAAAGAAATGGGAAACATAAGTAGGTTGTGTTTGAGAGAAAGCTCCTACAAAGATATGGCTAGGAAGCTCCTGGAAACAGCAAAATGGGCCAAGACATCCGGTCTGCCACCTGCGTGGCACGCCTTTGCTGAGGCTCTGAGAGGGAAAGGACCACCTGCCTCCCAGAGTAGTCTAATCAGCAGTCAGTGCTCAATAGGCACTGATTGAATCAAAACCACAGGCTTAAGAGGTCTTGGTGGGTCCAAGAGAACCACCGATCCAAACAGTCAGAAGACTTTCAGAGCCACAGCCCAGATCCTGACAGAGATGGCAATCAGGAGGCCAGAGACTGGGGCTGACTCCATGCAGCTCCCGAGTCCTTCCAGAAGGTTGGCCCACCCCCTGCCAACAATGGGACCAGTTACTGGGGCCCTCCTAACAAACCAACCCAGCACCCTATGAAGATTCACCCAGCAAGTGCTGTAAAAGTGCCCGGAAGGACTTTAAACCCACCATATCCAGAGCTTGGGTCTAATGAGAAAGGAAGACAGGGGAACAGGTCACAGCAGTAACGGTGTGTCTTCCTACTGGAAGGGTGGAGGGAGGGAGTGTACACAGAGGACTCCCACCTCACCTCCCTGGACGCTCACCTCCCCCGGGATCAAGGATTTGCATCTGGCAGCCCTGAGAGGCCACCTGGTGCAGCTCTCCTCACCTTCAGAAAGGTGAAACCTCCATGACTAGGGATGTAGGCTTGGGGACCGGCTGGGACGCCCAGCTCAGCCGAGAGAAGTAGTGTGTGCAGAATACAGACCAGAGCTGCCTGATTCCAAAGCCCCATGTACTTTCCCACCTAACCCCCCTCCATTCCTCCCACTAAGCCAAGTGTGCCATGGTGGGTGGGGGGAGGACACAGAAGCGAAGGCCTCCGACACCCAGCAATTTGATGGCTATAGAAAAATTACAGTGCTCGAGGATTCATTCACCTGTTCTGTATCTAGTAGCTAGAATCACCTGCTGCCATCACTGTTTATTGTATCATTCAGAGTGGCTCCCCACTGCCCTTACACTGTAAGACTGCCAAGTTTATCTGGATTCCATTGCGCACTACCCCTCAGGATCCCACTTCGTAGGCAGTGCCACTCTCAAAGGTCCACCCCTTATCCTCCTGTACCCACTCACAGCCTCCATCAGGAATGCCCTTCTTGCCTTCCCACCCGCCTACTTTACCCACCTTCCTTATTCACTCAGGGAACGGACATTTCCCTTAGATGCTAAGCACTGTAAGAGACACAGTAGCCTCCATATCGGAAGGACTCAGTCGGGGTTGAAAATGCTATCCCATTGTTATGGACTGAAACTGGAGCCACTGCCTTGAAAGAGGTGATTACAAGTTAAAATGAGGTTGTTAGTGTGGGTCCCCCAATCCAACACGACCAGGGTCCTCGTGACAGAAAAAGACACCGGAGATGTGAACACACAGAGAACAGACCTTGTGAGGACAGAGAGAAGGCAGCCATCTGCAAGGCAAGGGGAGAGGCCCCAGGAGAAATCCAATCTGCTGAGACCCTAAAATTAGACTTCTAGCCTCTGGAACTGTGAGAAAATAAATTTGTTGTTTAAGCCACCCAGCCTGTGGTATTTGGTTATTGCAGGCCTAACAAACGAATATACCCATATCATCCCCAGGGAACTCACTTCTTGGATGCCCTTTATACCAAGTAAACCTGTGGTGTAAAGCCCCAAAGCCCCATGAGTAGTGGCCCCCTTTCATTTAGGGATCCCCAATACTCTGCACCTGCTACTACCACCCCACATATCATGTTGCTCTATAGAGACTGTGGTCAGAGCTGGCCCCATCCAGACTCTCAGCTCCGCAAGGCAACTAAGTATCTTATTCCTCTTTGCATCCAGGGAGCCCAAACATTAGCTGACAACACGAGCTCATTAACTACCCTCTGAAAGAACAAATGTATGAAGAAATAAAACCACAGTGGGACATACCTCCTGTCGCAGCCACACAGAGCTGCCACATAGAGCTGACCAAAAGCCTATCTAGGCCTGTACATAAAACAAGTGATCAATGAGTAATAATATGTCAAAAGAGCTCTTAATACTAACATGTCACGGTTAGCAATGTGTATCTGTAAACACGCTTTCTTTGAATTGTCCCATCTATTCAAAACTACTAAACTGTTCATGTGCATCAAAGGCAAGCAGGAAGAAATGCTATTTCAGGAAGTGAACCCGAGGCAAAAAGTGTATAGAAGGGATGCTCCCCAAACGGTACCCTGCTAGTGACAAAACGGACCAGAATTCACATTCCCATTGCTCAGCCCCGCGCCAGACCCCACGGAACAACCTGATTTCTTTAAGAACCCTGAATTCCCCCCAAGTAAACACTGAACTATTACTCATTTAATGTTCATGCCACCTTTTGCTGCAAAAACAAAATGTAGACAAAACAGTATTGACGTGAGAACCCTGTGGCTGGGTTGAACTTCACCTTTCCCTCGGCTGTTAATGACACTTTTCTCATGAAACAAAAAATACAAGAAAAACAGGCTATGCCTGTTCATAAATGCTGGGCAGATGCAAACCCTGTTCCCAGGCCTCACTAGGCAGCTCCATGTCTTTTTTCAAGACTAGCACAGCTCCTCTGCTTCCACATCTGGCCCCTAAGAGTTTCCCTATTAGGGCACATGAAAAGAGCCCAAGAGGCATGTTTTTCTTTTTCATCAAAATCAAACTCCCACATGCAAAGGCACCCTTTGTTTCCAAATTCCTTTTCTCCAGGGTCCTGCTGTTCCAGAGCTGTGTGGTCTGTTAAGAGCTAAACCATCTGACAGATTTCTTCTGGAGGGGACTGCTGTTTCCAGGGCAACACCCCAAACACATATATCTACGTTTTAAACATTTCTTTTAAGGATTTGTTGTTCTCAACCTGAGCTGCCCTGAGCTAAACTGTTAGATGCAGAGAGCTGAAAGGGAAAGACAATGGGGACAGTCTTCCCAGAGTCTCAGAAGCACAGTGCTGAGGCTGGATGTTTCGAGAAGTTCCTGGCCCAGTGATCCCCAGAGTATGTGAGCCTCTAGCTCAAACTACCTGGTTAAGTTCCCCATCCCCACAGGAAACAGAGACACCAAATGGAAGTTCATAGAAAGGGGTACGGCTGTGCTAAAGGGAACTGCACTTAACAGGAGAGCTGACATCCATCAGAAAACCTGCCTGATGCTGTAATTCCTAAACCAAAGATTACCCCAGCAAAGCCACAAAGGATTTCCAACTCTGGCAGCTGGAATGAGGTCAGCGCATAATCTAATGGCAGCCACAACTCCCAGCAGAGACAGAGAGGCAACCCACGCTTGAAATGCACAGGTGACAGACAGTCTGCACTAATGGCATGCTAACTCTCCATGAACAAGTGGGATTCTTAATAACCAATCACTTGGGCTTAAGAAATAGTTAGATTCTCTCCCAGGGAAGCTGCCCTCCCAATCCAACCCCTGCTTCCTTGATTTAAAGTTGTAGCTGGAATGCAGCCCATCCCACCTGTTTGGGGTAGGGGGTTTGAGGAAAGAGAGGAACACAGCTGGAGGTGGAGGGTCAGAGTTAGAGCGGCCTCTCAAAGGAATACAGCAAACTGCAGACCCAGGGAAGCCAAGTAGAACCAAGGCAGGCCAGAAAGTCAGCTTGTCCACCCAAGTGCCACAAATCGAGTTTAAAAAGGTTGCACCCAAACACCACACAAAGACCTCCCCCCACCCCACCTCACACACACATCCATACATACCCCACACACATCCATACATACCCCACACACCTGAAGCTCAATCTAAAACAGCTGTACTATGTGGGCACAGAAAGCAAACGTTTCCATCTTCTTCCTCATCTCTCAGACACAGGTCAGGGCTGCTCATGTATTTTATGCTACAAGGCATTGCCCCATACCCACCTGAAGCCACGGGTGTTTTAAAGCTTCTTCTGTCGTGAAACGTGTCTTTGGATCCACTATCAACAACTTCTTAACAAGGTCCAGAGCTAAAGCAATAAGATAATTGGGTAAATCAGAGTGAGAAGGGTAAATACATTCAATCAGCAAAATTGAAGTATGCCAGAATCACAGGCCAATATCCAGAAAGGAGAGAGAGGGACTGAGATCATAAAGGAGTCAGCAGGTACGGTGGGCAGGGCCTCCTACTCCCCCTCACTGTCCGTATTCATCAGAGTGCTCCGAGAATACCATCTCACCCTGCTCAGACATCACAACCTCTCAGCTCTCTGCTCCTCCTCTCATTGCTGGAAGCAAGTTCAAACTAATTAAAGTTGAACTTCCACCCAGTTCTAAGGCGCTCAGGATACAGAGCCAGCTCTTCCTGAGACCCACAGATGGATGGTGAGAGTTCCTCAGGCGGTGAGAGGCTCCTGGAACTGCAGGCTTGGCGGATAGAAAGCTTGATGGCCAGCAACAGTGGAGGCTGGCTTGTACATTGCAACAATGTTATTCCTTAGACACCTACATGTAACACAATCATCTATGTTACATTATTTGTCATTTAGTTTTAGTCTCCTACTTTTTTTCTCTTGAGAATTACAAAGTTACACACTTAAATTCTTAAACACAAAGTAACTAATTACATTTAGCTCTTACATGCTTATTTACTGAAAAGAAACCTGTAACTAAACAGTTACTTATTATTTTGCATATTTAAATAGGTACCAGGCACTTGCGTATGTTACACTTAACCCTTACAAAAACCCTTTGAAGTAGGGGTTTATTGGGTTCCCTTGACAAATAAATAGAGACCTAGAGAGTTTATGCAACTTGCCTCAAATCACATAGCTAAGAGTAGCAGACCAAGGACTTGAGTTCGGATCTGCCTGGCTCCAGAGCCCATGCTCTTAATACCTTCCTTCGCCTCTCGATTTGGTTCAAAACAACAGGAAATAAGAACAGAATCGACAGGAGAAAAACATCACGGAATTTGAAAACAAAAAACAAAACAAAACATCTCCCACCACAGTACATACATTTCAGCAAACCATAATTTTTTTTAACCCTTTCATATCCATACCCTTCTCTGAGACCACAGCCCAGACTTCGGGAATGAAGTTGTATTTTCCACTGGTGATCTGATCCTTCAGTGATACTTGAGTCTTATGCTCAGAGAAAGGTGGATACCCACTAAGGCTTAACAATGGTAGAGAGAGAAAGGAAAAGAAATCAAGTGGCATTTTCTGTAGCATTCAGATATGTAGATTTCTTTTTTTTTTTTTAGTGTAATGAATAATTAAATTTTTCTATAAATCAATGGTCAAAAACAGTGACCTAAATTAAACACAAGCCCTCTACCTGGACATGTTTTTGATTTCACCTAATTAACTACAATCGGACTCTGAAGCAATGAAAACTTTTCTTACCAAATAAAAAGTATAACTCCTAAACTCCAGCAGTCCACTGCACGACTGTATCCGGCAGTCCCAAAAGAATTAAGAACCTCGGGGGCCAAGTAAGTAGGGGTACCACATAAGGTTTTCATGAGAGAAGTCTCCCCCAAAATCTTGGACTGCCCAAAATCAGTAATCTAAAATTAAAGACAAGAAGGAATCATTTTTAATGACAGCATAAATAAAAATATCAGTATAGCCTGCCAGTCCCAAAAGACATGCAGGTTAGATCAGTTTCTATCCTACAATTCCCGTCTGCTGTTAATCTGGAATCGATAAATTCATATGTAATTTAAGGCAATTCTGAGCTTTTCAAGTTATTTAAATTTTTTAATTAGGAATATCTTGGGTTTTTTTTTTTTAGATTTTATTTATTTATTTTTAGAGAGAGGGAAAGGGAGGGAGAAAGAGAGGGATAGAAACATCAATCTGAGAGAGAAACATTGATCGGTTGCCTCTCGCATGCACCCAACTGGCGACCTGGCCCACAACTCAGGCATGTGTCTCATGGACTGGAAATCAAACCTGCAAGCTCTTGGTTTGCAGGCCAGTGCTCAATCCACTGAGCCACACCAGCCAGGTTCACTTTGCCTAAATTAAAATTCCTGAGCTGAGTAAACTCAAGGCCCGTGCTTTTTCCCCAACTTATCTGTACTCTCTGAAACCTTACAAAAGGTTTATTATAGCCGTTATCACAGACACTGCAGGATTATTAGTTATGCATGGTTCTTGTTAGATCCCAGTTTCTGGACCTGGGCTGCCCACTGCAATATCTACAGAGCCTGGGAAAAAACACTTCTGCCTGGATGCCATCTTCAGAGATTCTGGAGGAGCAGTCTGGATGTCATGGTTTTATTTATTTCTTACTACTTTTTAATCAACAGGAGATTCTAAAGGGAAGCCAAGTTTGGGAAGCACGGCCTCAGATAGAGGGATGAAGAAAATGGGAAGTAAATTCACTCATCGGTTTAGATGCCCCTCCTTCCCTCTGGACATAAAAGTGGCTTGCACCCGGTGGAGCTCAACAGATGCCCCTTAGAATCTGGAGTGAAGCAACGCCACCTGATCTGCAAAAATAATTGCTGAAAGTGGAAAGACCGAATTCTCAACCTTTTTACGATCCCACGTGTTACCTGATGGTTGCAAACACAGTTTCTGAACAAAAATCTATGGGAATAGCCATATACAGAATATAAATTCCTTACCTTTATAAGGCAATCCTCTTTTTGAGATGAGAGAAGAACATTCTCTGGCTTTAAATCCCGATGTATAATGCCATTTTCATGAAGATACTACACAGAAAGGGAGGCATGACACTTAGATTTCACCCAGTACGCACACGAGGAGAGACCACAGCGCGCACGCGCGCACACACACACACACGCACGCACACACACCTTACATCTGGGTGAAACTGTAAGCCATGCTACTCGCAAATATTAATATAGTCCCCCAAATCACAGAAAACTACTGGGTAAAGGGCTTAGTGTTAAGAAAAAACCAAATGTGTTTTCAAGAAAATCTTTAAAAAGTACAAAAATGGCCCTGGCTGGTGTAGCTCAGTGGATTGAGCGTGGGCCTGCGAACCAGAATATCGCGGTTCGATTCCCAGTCAGGGCACATGCCTGGGTTGCAGGCCAGTTCCCAGCAGGGGACACATAAGAGGCAACCATACATTGATATTTCTCTTTCACTCTTTCTCCTTCCCTTCCCCTCTCTCGAAAAATAAATAAAATATTTTTTTAAAAAAGTACAAAAATGAACACGACAACCTAGTAAGTGCACATTTTATTTCACTTTTCAAACATAAGGTGTCAATTTTCAATTTCTTTTTTTCTTAAGATTTTACTTATTCATTTTTTAGAGAGGGGAAAGGAAGGAGAAAGATAGGGAGAGAAAAAATGTTGGAGAGAAAACACAGATCGGTTGCCTCTCACACATGCGCAACTGGGGGCCTGGCCCACAACCCAAGCCTGTGCCCTGACCCGGAACAGAACCGGCAACCTTTCAGCCCACAGGCCAGCGTTCAATCCACTGAACCACACCAGCCAGAGCAAGGTGTCAATTTCAATAACAAAAATATAAATCAGTGATATATTTTGAAGACCCTATTATAAAGTAAACCATAAAAATTCCACCAAAATGATACATCTGGTTATTCCAACCCTGAAAATAATATTTCAACGTTAACTCCATTTAAATACCCAGAGTTAACAAATGCATCTTAAGTCAAACCATCCACAGAAGGGGACCTTCTGTAGTACGGTGATGTGTCTTCGTATGTTCATTTTTATACACTGTCATATCTCATTAAGAAAACAATTTCCTATGTACAATGATCTGCACTCATTTCACCTTAATATTCTTGGTATAATATAAAGGAGTAAATAAATCATGCAGAAAGAGAACTGGTTAGTTGTCTAGGGGCTTCAATTTTCGCTGGCTATCCCTGCCCTAGAACAAAAATTCTTCCAAAACACGTGCCCTGGGAATGGGATCTGGTGAAGCCCCCAGGGAAGGTAAGCCCAGGTGCACCAGCCCCAGGAGAATCTCCCTCACTCCTCACTTAATACAAGAGCTGGTCCCAGTCACCACATTTCACACACGGAGTAGGTTTTCAAGGGAAGAAACCTTGGCTGAGAATCGCCACAACCAAATTTGGGTTGGGAAAGTGCTGTTCTTCAAAGCAGGCAACATGCCACCAGCCGTTCCTCCCCTCAGCACTTTCATGGAATAAAGAGAAGGCAGTACACCGGCCTGCCTGCCTGCTGCAGTTAACCGGACGCTGCATAGGAAGGGGACACCTAGTGCTGGGCCACCGAGATGCGATCTGTCGCAATCACCCTAACTTGCCAGCCTTATCCTTATACCTGCTCTGCTCCCACCAAGAGGTAAGGCAGGGTTCGAAAAGGATCAGAAAGAAATAGAGATTAATGCCCCTCCAGAAATACCTCCGAGCTAAAGAGATTTGTGGGACCATGTGTTTATTTCTTGAACACCCTTTCTTACTCTGTCTTAAGCTTCACAGCAAGAGCTTTCTCATCTGAGTCAAAGGAGATGTTTTTGCCAAGAACAGAACAAATAACACACACAGACTCTGTTCTCCAAGTTTTCATCCCTGGTCCCTCACTTTCTGCCGACGAGAAAGTAGGCTGTCCTAAGCACTGTGGGTGTCTTACCTGTACAGCCAGGAGCATCTGGTAAAAATATAGTTTGCACGTATCTTCTTTCAGGCGTCTAGTCCCCACCACCCTGTCAAACAGCTCGCCTCCTTCCATCCTGCAACACACAGGCAAAGCAGGGGGTCATGCCTGGAGGGAAACTCACTTGGGTGGACAATAATAACACAAACAAAACAAACTCACTAAGACAAGCAAAGAGTTGCCATATTTATTCACCCTTGACTTCCATCGTAAAGGCAATGCGGTGCTAAACTTCAACCACAATGAAGATGTTCCCAGTGGAAACTAAGAAACAAGGAAAGATGGAAAGGGGGTGCAGTGGGCATTGGAGACACTTGGCGAGCTATTAAAAACCTGATTCACTGGATAGGAGGCAGGGCTCAGAAATCTGCATTTTAATCACACACACCAGGGTTTTCTGAGACTGGTGTAGAGCAGCAAGCAGTAGATACAACCAGATAATCAGGGGTCCGAACCCCAACTCTACAACTTCCCAGCTGGGGGACTTTAGGCCAAATCATGTAATGTCTCTGATCTTGACTCTGCCTCTCAAAAACATAAGGATGACCCCACTTACTTTGAAGGCTGCTGTAAAAATTAAAGAGATAATTGACGCAGATTGGCACCGTACAGATGCTTGGCAAGGTTATTCAATCCCTCTAGTCTTCAGTTTCCTTTACTGTAAAGTGGGGCTAAAAGTAGTAGCTCACCAGTAACTTGTAAGTTACCTGGATGACTGTTATGAAGATTAAATGACTCAATTCAACTAAAGTGCTTAGAGCAGTCCTTGGCTCATATTAAGTGCTTAATTAGTATCCGTTACTGTCACTGTATTACTACTACTATTAAACTGTTTTAACTAGACCCCGTCAGTCAGGTAACATTCTATTTAACAGCAACAGATACCCCTCAAGCACCATAAGGGCTGTCTAGTCTCCCCTAATGCTCCGAGCAAGACTGGTCTTTATTGTACAATCTTAGCAGACAACCTGCACAGCCACTCAGGAGCAAAGCTTTGCCTGTCTGCCACAGTAGAGGCTCCCAGAAACACTACGTATTCATGCAGGAATGGACATCAAACAGGCCTCTTCCAGGAATGAGACAGAAAGTTATTTTGATCACACGGAATAAAACAGGATGTGAGAGCCACTGAAATAAACCAGCACCTGGAAGATACTCAGGTGTGGGACCAGCAACCTGGTACTATGATCCCAAGCAAATACTCCCACCAAGGCAGGTATGTCAGAGTAATAACATCCCCCAGTGACTCAGCACCTATGTGTGCCAGGTGCCCTGTTGGGGGCTTCATAGAGTTTCATCTTTTCAACTCTGTGAATGTGGATCGTTATTATCCCACTTAACACCAGGAAAATGAGACTGAGAAGTGAAGTCTACCAGTGCTGGGCAGTCAGCTAGTCACCTGCAGAGTGGGATTGAAACCCAGACCTCAGATTCAGGGCCTGGAGCCTCTGAGCTGCCTTCCTTTGAAAACACTGGAGGGGTTCAGATATGATACTAAGCCCCTTGAATACTTGGTGGGCCCCACCCTCACACACACACACTAAAGGGTCCCCAGGATGAGAAACGCAAGCCAGCCTTAGTCTTTAAATAAGCATTTAAATAAAAACAAGGGGTTTTTTTTTGTTTTTTTTTTAAAGCTTACTACTTACAATTCCAAAACAATATAAAAATCTTCGGCATCAAAAAAGTCTTTAATCTTGATGATACAAGGCTGAAAGAGGGAAAAGAGGAAAACTATGAGAAGCTCTCAAGAGGAAAACCACAAGAGCAGGACGCGCAGTGTTTGCCCAGGGGTTGGGGGAGGCCAAGACCAGACATCTGGTCCCGTCTTGGGACATGCGGGGAAGAAGGCAGAACAGAATTAATGTGGCTCCTCAGTGAGAACGTACAAGAAACTTGCCACCCCACCACGTTGGCGAGGGACTGGTTCATGTCTCACACAGAAGGAGGGCCCCGCGGAAGGAAGCCTGTTTCCTCCCAGCCCTCCTGCTCACTGCCCCAGAGCATCGGTGCTCAAGGACACCTCATACCCTGGAGGAGCCTGACAAGCGGCAGGAATGGAAAGCAGGCCAGGTGGGTGCCCGGCCACGCAGACAGACAGCAGGTTATTCGGCTCTGTGTAACTGGAACCACAGGGTAATGGGAACGCTGTGCAACAAGATCTTTCCATTTTTCTCCCCCTGCCCACCTAAGATTTTATGGATTTATTTTTAGAGAGGGAAGGGAAGAGAGGGAGAGAAACATCAATGTGTGGTTGCCTCTCATGCGCCCCCTACTGGGGACCTGGCCCACAATCCAGGCGTGTTCCCTGACTGGGAATCCGACCAGCAACCCTTTGATTCATTCACTGGCCAGCACTCATTCCACCAAGCCACACCAGCTAGGGCTCCTCCCATTTTTCAAGGGAAATTCCAGTTTCATAAGAACTCTGAAACACATCTGCGATGGCTGAGTTTGTGACTCTGGTCAAGGCAAGATGGATATAACATAAAGAATAGTACTATATAGCTTACAATGCACATTTAATACAATGATTTGATGAATAGAAAGCACACCTTTGGTTTTTACAGAAAAAAGTAGAGCTCAGTGGTTAAGAGACATAAAAGATGTGGTCTCACATCTCTATCAGGGTCACCTCCCTTACGCCCCAGCAAGGAGGATGACTGTGATTTTAACAGAACTAAGGGGAAGAAAGCTGTAAGGATTTTGGATTAAAGAGTAGCAACACTTGTCAGAGTGATCTTCCCACAAAGCACGCTTCGCCATATCCACTGCTCTGATTAACCCCCTCAAATGGTACCTTCCCACGGTGAACTGTTTGTTATGCAGCGGTGACTGATGCCCCCCTGCCCCTCCCAGCACAATGGGCTTTGGAAACATAATGCCCAGTGGAAAAGGCAAGTGGTGAGAGACTTCAAAGAGTACAAAGTGCTTCAATTGTACGGTCGCGTTTTCATTTTGAAGTCGAATGGTGAGTTCAAAGGTGTTCATCCTAATGGTTTGCTCTATAATTTGTTTATTACTTTCCATGTGTCAAATATTACATGACTTTAAAATATTTAAAGACAGGAAGGACAAGAGCCTCCGGAGGGAGAGAAGGAAGAAGTGGCAAGGCAGAAAGGAAAACAAGAAAACCTTTTGCTCTGTGCTGCCCCGAGGCTAAAATCCAACTTCTCAGAGGGGTTATTAGCAAGGCCTTCATGCCCCAGTCTCGTCTCCTGCTCCAGGTCCCACACATCCTCCTCTCCAGGCCGCGAAACTCCCCTGTCACCTGGATTCCCTGTGCTCTTTTCCAGCGTCACACCTTTGCTTGTGCAACTCTCCTGCCTGGTGATCCAGCCTTCCGGGCACACTCCCCTTTTCCAAGGCATCCGGAATCTCTTGTTAAAGAGTGGGGGTGCTAGTGTGGGGGGTGGGGTTGCCTCAAACATACCCCTAAGGTAAACACTTTGAATGCTCAGAGAATTTTCTGTGATGTCAGAGGGTCCCCAAACATAACATTTCTATAAATCCAGTGTCCACTGCAGTCGAGAGGAATTTAGAACCCTATAAATTGTCCTTGTAGATATTACTTGTGCCAGGGCACATGGAAGCCCTTGGGAATTTGGTATGGGCTCAAGAGTTCATTTTGGGAACAATGAGTAGAGCCTGGTAGCCCGGTAGAGCCAGGCACTGATTCGATCAGCTGTCAAACACATTGTGTCAGCCTCTGTGGCCTGAGTCTCACGCGGCCTCAGGCACCAGGCCGCAGCTAAAATGTGCCCCTCACAATGCATCCACACACCCAGCAGTGGTTCAAACCTGTGCCACCCCACCCTGCATCTTCAGTATCTGTCTCCCAGCCAGGCTGAGCTTCTCTGGAGGGCAAAGAAAAGAAACTAACATCAAGCACAGACACGTCTCCTTTCCCCAGGCACTTCGTAGGCTCATTCAACTTCTTGGTTCTGCTTGGCTTCTTAATAGGCACTGACCACCTGGGAATGGGTGTAACTGGGAGCTAATAAAGCATAAAGCAGTCCCCGGGGTCACTGGCTACAGCTGGCACACCTGAAAGTGTATCTCAGGAACCAGAGGTTACTAACCTCGATCCTCCACTTTGGTCATACAGAGAAAAGTTTAAGGAATTACAGATCTCTATCACTCCCCAAGTGTGTTTTCTATGCTGAAAGCTCTACTAAGCACATCTCATTTAATTCTCACACTGACCTTCAAGGTTAAGTACTCCTATTGTGTCCATTACTCTGAAAAGTGAAATGACCTTCTCATTGCCAGGTGACAGAGATGGGATGGGAACCCAGGTCTGTGTCTCCACCAGACTCAGGCCACATGAGAGGAAGCATGGCTGAGTCCCCGTGTGCTCGCCACCAGAAGAGAGGCTGACACAATGTGTTTGACAGCTGATCGAATCAGTGCCTGGCTCTACTCATTGTTCCCAAAATGAACTCTTGAGCCCATACCGAATTCCCAAGGGCTTCCACGTGCCCTGGCACAAGTAATATCTACAAGGACAATTTATAGGGTTCTAAATTCCTCTCGACTGCAGTGGACACTGGATTTATATAAATGTTTTGTTTGGGGACCCTCTGACACCACAGAAAATTCTCTGAGCATTCAAAGTGTTTACCTTAGGGGTATATTTGAGGCAACCCTCTCTTTAACAAGAGATTCCAGATGCCTTGGAAAAGGGGAGTTCAGAGAAGAGAAAGAAGCTGCAAGGGAATTGGAAGAAAGCAGAGCAGGAGTGTCAGCCGCTTGGATTCTCTCATGGGTTTTCCAACCCACCCATGAGTTGAATTGTTGTGTTGATGGCACTGATTTTGGTCTTAGTTTTTCTTTGTTTGGGGGATCTGAGGAGGTGATAGAAGGGAGAAGAAATCTTTTTGTTGTCTGGATGTTAGGAACCAAAATAAGATCATCCTTAGCTAGACAGATTGGAGGTCTTGTTTCAAATTTAACTCCAGTGCCCACCTTGCTCGTGACTTCAGGGGGGCTCATGAATTAATAAAGAAATGGAAAGAACAATTACAAGGAGGATGGAGTCAGTCCCGCACCTCTAACTTTCTCTTCTCACATCTTTAACCTTCCATGGTAACAAGGTCAGCAGTGCACAAAACAAAAAAGACAGAAATTATTAACACTGACACCATTTATTCAAATTTAAGGACAGGGTGTTGTCATTCATATTTGGAAACCACTTGGATTTACTTGATTTACTCCAAATGAGGTAAATGAAAAAAAGCACCATCGAAAGGTATTTAGAGGTATTAAAACTTCAGGTATAATCAAACCAAATTTACCAAATTAGCATTATCTTCCCAAACATAATCAATTGATAAAGTCCCTGTAAGATATGAAACTTAGGAGATTTACTATGTCTTCCATTCAAGAACTAACAGTGTAAATATCGCATAATTATTTAATCATGAAATCTTTACACAGTATTGTTCTTTTAAAAGTTCAGGGTAACCCTGACCGGTGTGACTCAGCTGGCTGGTAGTTGTCCTGCAAAGCAAAAGGTCACAGTTCGGTTCCCAGTCAGGGCTCGCGCCTGGGCTGCACATTCGGTCCCTGGTCAGGGCAAGTACGAGAGGCAACCAATTGATGTTTCTCTCTCACAATGATATTTCTCTCCCTCACTTTGTCCATCCCTTCCCCTCTGTCTAAAAAACCAGTAAAATCTTTTTTTTTTTAAGTTCGGGGTAAATGACAACTAAATACCCATATGCATGTGTATAGACACAATTACAGAACCCAGGTTAATACTAGCTTTATTACATCGAAATGCTTTGTACTCCTCTCCTATTTTCAGATAAATAATTTTAAGTATGAGCCACATTTTACAGAAATACTTACATGATTTAATTTTTTCAAAATTTCGATTTCTGTTTCAACATTGAGAGCTGGATCCTTTGATAAATAAAATAACATTAGAGTTTATTAATAATAACAATAGCCAATAGTTAGAAAATATTCACAGTTAAACTTTGTTGAGTAACGGCTGCCTGAGTGCCAAACCCAGCTCTACTCATACAGAGAAATCAAAGCCCACAGGATAACAATTTAAACAACCTGCCTGAAATCACTGTGTAAAGTGCTTGGCAAAGAGAAAGCATTCAATAAATGACCAAGATGTTGATAAAAATATCATCTCACATAAGGCTCATAATCACCAAGTAAACTGGGTTCCACAATAACCCCCATTTTATAGACGGAGCAACTGAGGCTCAGAGAAAGGGAGCCACTTGCTCCAGTTTGCACAGCTCGAAACAAGTGTTTCCACTATTCTCATACTTACCACTCGGTAAGTTCTGCTCATCTCATTAGCTATGGAATTGTTTGCAGTCATAAAAATGATAAAACAAACAATTCCACACATGAAAAGGTTAAACTATATTAAGAAACCATCAAGTCAAATGTCTAAGAATAGAGTGGGCCCAGGTTTCGATTTCAACTGCAGGCTGACATATTTACTGAGATTCTTAACAAGGGGAAGCTTCAGGGTTACTGAAGTTGTTCTCCACTACAATTCCGAAAGGATGAATCAAGTTACTCAACCTCATGGGCTACACCCTCCACAAGCACAGAGGATATAGAATTACATATTTATGTAAAATGGACTTCAGCTAAGAAACCCAGATGTTTAATTTTAAAAGCCTGCCTCTTCCTGTAAGCCGTTAAACTCATTACTAAGTCAGGGTGTGCTCTGATGATAGAGAGGTCTAGAAGAGTTCAAAACGATTTGAAAGATGAAATTAAGAACTCAAATATTGCTGCAAGTCATTAGGAATCTTTCTCCAGCAAATGGGAAACAAAATCCAGAATCGCAGGGGAAAAGATCTATAACAGTGAACACAGAAAGGAAATTCCTCTTGCCGTGTGAGAATGGCATTGTCTTAGGGGAAAAAAAAATTCATCTTTAAGGAATGTGAAAGTATAATAGCCAGAAACAGCTGGCCACAAAGGAAAACATGATTACGGGTCACATTTTACATCACTGTGTTGAGTCATCTGTTAAAAGACCAATACACTTGGACATTTCATTCACGCAGTAAGAACGTATTACATAAAATGTAATCAAAGGAAGGGCTAGTATATAAAGGGACTAGTAAAGTAATTTAATTAAGATTTTAAAAAATCTATAAACAACCCTGGCTGGTGTAGCTCAGTGGATTGAGCGCAGGCCTGCGAACCAGAGTATCATGGTTCGATTCCCAGTCAGGGCACATGCCTGGGTTGCAGGCCAGTTCCCAGCAAGGGACACACGAGAGGCAACCATACATTGAAATTTCTTTCCCTATCTCCTTCCCTTCCCCTCTAAAAATAAATAAATAAAATCTTAAAAAAAAAAATCTATAAACACTCAGATATCCATCGCCACATTACTGGGAAGAGCAAAGAATCAGAAATTATCTAACTGATCAGCCAGAGAAATGGTTGAGCAAACTATGATATAGTTGATGAAATAGAAACTTGACCATCAAAAAGGACATATTAAGGAAAAATTTATGCATTAACGTTCGTATGGAAAAGCAGACTACAAAACTGTATATACAACGCGATTTTGACCATCTAAAAACAAACTCATATGAACAAAGACTAGAAAGGAAAAAGAAAACTGAAAACAGCTGTGGTTTACAGTGGTGGCGATATATATATGGCTGGGGGTCCCCCCCCAATTTCCTTTCATTTATTGTAAAAACAGTCCTATGACAACATAGAATACAAAAAACCCAACTTCCTACTAGCACATTATTAAGTGCAACCAAATATTTTTCGGAACCAAATTATTTACAAGTTTCTAGATTACTTGAATGCACTCAAAAACATTCAATGTTCTTTGATACAAATTCACACACCTGAGCAGTAAATTCATCCCAACACTGAAAATAACCACTCCAAAATGATTCTTGGAAATTAAGAAATGTTAAGAACAGCTGAGCAGCCAAAAACATGTACTTACTGCCTCTTTCTCGGAGCCAACAGCAAACTTCCTTTTGCTGATGATCTTTATGGCGACTTTCTTACATGTTTTCCTCTCAAAAGCTAGTTTCACCTCACCACAGGCCCCACTACAGGGAAAAACATGGAAAGAGACTGTCAGAATGCTTTTAATCACGAGACCCATCACTCCTGAGTTCGCTTCAACTACTGCAAGTTAAAGGTGGTCCAGTGCTTGCTTCGCAGCACATATGCTAAAAAATTGCAACAATATGGAAATTAGCATGGCTCCCATGCAAGGATCACACACACACACAAGTGCACAAAAGTAGTCCATACACAATCCTTCCATTGTTCCTGTTTAGAAACATGGTGAAACCTCCCCGACGTAACATGGCAAGGGCGTAAGTGAATGTGGACAATCCATCAACACCAGGTCAGCTCCCAACTCCAGGTTTCGAGCTGATACAAACTGGTTCTACTGGCACGCCAGATGGTCACCTTCTCATAACGACACTCAGGACAAGGAGAAGTGCCTTATCCCAGACGTCAGAGAAACATCCAACAAAACAAAGCCCTAGTCAAAAATAAGTGCCTGAAACAAGTTACAGCAAACAATCTCTGCAAATTAATTACTCTCATTGCCGCACTTCTGTCTTATTTTCTGCCTTCGAAGGAAGTGCGTAAGCAGTTGATGCCATGAACTACACCCTAAATAAACTTATAATACCTAGGAAACCAAAAGTTTTACACAATTAACCCGCTTGCAGTGAGCTCTCAGATTTACAATGGATTAGGATATTATAATAGAGGAGGAACGCAAACCTAGGATGCCACCAGGTACCTACTTAGTCCCATTTCGGTGCTGTTCTCCAAAGCATGGTCAGCCCAAAGTCGTGCCTACTTGAATACCAGTCATTCATTACCTGCTTGAAGCAGACCATTATAAGTGTTATGGGTTTGAGTGGCATGAAGCATTGGCCAAGACCTCTTTTTTATTGTGTACTGTATTGTACATAACATAAAATTATGTTATGTACAATAACAAATTATGTTATGTACAATAACAAAGCACTGTAACCATTTTAAAGTGTACAATTCAGTAGCCCTAAGAACATCTATAGTGTTCTATAACCTCCACCCCTATCCAGTTCCAGAACAATTTTATCAGCCCAAATGGAAACCTATATCCACTAAGTATTCACTCCCTCTCATTCCACCCTGCCCTCAGCTCCTGGCAATCTGCTTGTTCCAAATATCTTATTAAAGTAAAATCAAACGATATTGTAGCTTTTTGGTGTATGACTTCTTTCGCCTAGCATGTGTTCAAGATTCATTCCATGTTGTAGCATGTGGTGTATTGGTATTTCATTCCTTGTTATAACTAAGTAACATTGCACTGTATGGATATATCACCCTCATTTATCCATTCAATTGTTGATGGACATTTGGGCTGTTTCCACCTTTTGGCTATTGTGAAAAGAGCCGCAACGTTCTATGTATAACATTTTGAGAAACCACCAAATTATTTCCCCCAGTGGCTGCCCCATTTTACATGCCCACCAGCAGTGATGGGGACTCCAATTTCACATCCTCACACTTATTATTTTCCATTTCTTTATTACGGCCATCCTAATGGGTGTGAAGTGGTATCTTGCTATGGTGATACATTTCCCTAATGACTAATGATGCTAAACATTTTTTCACAGGGTTTTTGCTCATTTGTCTATCTTCATTGGAGAAATGTCTATTTAAATCCTTGGCCCATTGTTTAGTTGGGTTCTCTTTTTGTTTTGAGTTGTAAGAATTCTCTATTCTGGATACAAAATCTTTATGATATAGGATTTGTAAATATTTTCTCTCCTCTGTGAGTTGTTTCGCTTTCCCACCAATGTCTTCTGATGCACAAAAATTTTTAAATTTGATGGAGTCTAATACACCTATTTTTTTTTCTGGTGTTGCTTGTGGGTTTGGTGCCACATTTAAGTAGCCACGGTCAAATCAAAGGTCACGCAGAGCTGTCCCTACGTGAGAATGGTCCAGGTAACTATTATCATTTAAAATGCTCAAACCATTGTCCAATTTCCCTTCTGCTGGTAACAGTCACCTTTTGCTGGAGAAGTCTTCCCTGCGTCCAGGGCACTGCCTGTAATAGTACAACACTCACTACCAGAACAATGTGAAGTAGACACATAAAATTAAGTTAATCAGGGTTGTCCCTGGAATCAAACGCTGATGTTGGGAGAAAAACAATTCTCTCCGCTATGGTTTCTAGAAGCAAAAACAAAACAAAACAAAACATGAATGTTGAACTCCTGGAAGTTATTTTTCCTGCTGCACAGAGACAGCAATTCTATACTCAGGCAACGAATTATAGCTGAATCAAGAGACAGAGCCAGAGCCATGACAACACGGTGGGAGCCTTCAGATCCAGCCACAGACAAAGCCAAACTGAGCATAAGAATTCAAGAGGGAAATAAAGATCAAAGGCCTCCCAGTCCAGCCATGCCTGAAGTCAGTTGTGCCCCTGTATTTCCTAGTTACGAGAGCAAATAAATTTCTTAACTGACTCATTTAAGTTTCTGTCACCCGCTACAAGTTAGAAGATGTGTGTTGAATCTTCCCATAGAAAAAAATAAGAGTCCCATATTATTTCTTAAAGGCAGGCACAAATTTGGCTACGAGCTTCCAAGCAGCCAACGCAAATAAGGAAACACAATGAGTTACTGAGTTTATTGCCCATAAACTAAAATATCTCTTATAGATGGTCATAAAGAGTACACAGCACTTGATTCTGTGTGGCAGGAATACAGATGATTATTTCCTTCCATTATTTTCTATTTTCATGTTACTAAAAATATCAACAGATTAGAAAGGTCTTTGGGGTGGGGAAGGAATGGGAGGATGAAGGACATTGTAGAATGTGGTAAAGGTATCCTGAATCCCTTCCCTGAAAAAACGGTTCTCAAAGTATGATCAGGGAACCCCTAAAAGACCCCCAAGACTCTTTCTAGGTGTCTACAAAGTCAAAATTATTTTCAGAATAATACTAAGACCATTATGTGCCTTTTTCATTTTCATTCTCTACTAACTATATGTAGTTTTCCAAAGGCTGCATGGCACATGATGTCAAAACAGACCGAATAAAGAAGTAAATATCGGCAGTAGAAGCAGACACGGCTCGCCTCTTTGCACAATCGCGTCAAAATTACAACTAAACTACAGAACAATTTCACTCAGAACCAACAGAAACTGAGTTGAATGGAAGTCTGACAACTACGGAATTAAAGAAAGCACATCCATCCAGTCTGGTAGGAGGGGCACAGATGCTGACCGGGCTGGTCCCACAATGTGGTGGATAAAAATCTGGGAGGGATATCTTGGGACCAGGGACACCCAGACCCACACCAGGCCCCCAGGCCCAGGGTTCTAGTGCCAGGAAGATAAGTCCCCACAACTCCTGGCTGCAAAAACCAGCAGGGATTGAGTCCGTGGAAGAAGCTGCTGTAGACCCAAACAGTTCCTCTTAAAGAACACACATAAGGACGTATCTACTCGGGCTCACTCCCTCGGGGCTCCAGCACTAGGGTAGCAGTTTGAAAGGCACCAGTGGCATAAAGGGAAGAACTGAAGTCTCTGGCATCAAGGTGAGCAGAGACCATTGCCCCTTTTCTAAACTTCCCCACCCTCAACTAGAACCAGCAGCTGGTGCCATATCTAAGACTCCATCAACCTGGCTAACACTGTTTGACCCACCTTGGAGATCCCCAGAGACTTGGCCCCACCCAATTTATGGGCCACCCAAGGGCTGCTTTTCCAAATGAATGGCTGATCTTGGCTCCTGCTTCACAACTTCCTAAATCTCCTCAAAGAACAACAGTTGGCCTCAGTGAACTCCAGACACAGCACTGGCAGCAGCCGGCCTAGCTTAACAGCTTGGCTTTGCCTGGGAATCTCTAAGCCCAGCAAAACACAGGTGGGGGCTGACCATGGCCTGCACCATCCAGGAAACCCCAGGGCCGGTGCCCCCCAGTGGACAGCTACAAAACATATGGGAGCAATACCTCTCTGCCCCTGCTCAGCTGATCCTCCACGGATGGCAGAGGTTGGTGGTCACTGGTCACAGCCAATCCTTGCAGCTGACTGGCCTGGGTAAACCCCTCCCACTGATCTGCCAATAGCAACCAAGGCTCAACAACAAGAGGATGGTGTACTCAGCCCACACAAAGAGCACACCTCAAATACCCAGACTGGGTGATAAGGGAGGCTGTGCCATTGGACCCTACAGGACACCTACTACATTAGGCCACACTACCAAGACACGGAGTCAAAGCAGCTCTACCTAACACTTAAAAACAAACACAGGGAGGCTGCCAAAATGAGGAGACAGAGAAACATGGCTGAAATGAAAAAACAGATCAAAACTCCAAAAACAGAACTAAACAAAATGGAGATAAGCAATCTATCAGATGCGGAGTTCAAAACACTGGTTATAAGGATGCTCAAGAAACTCAGTGAGGACCTCAACAGCATAAAAAAGATTCAGTCAGAAATGAGGAATACACTAATTGAAATAAGTAACAATTTACAAGGACACAACCGTAGAGTGGATGAAGCTGAGAATCAACAATGTAAATATACTGTAGCAAAAAACAACCAATCAGAACAAAAGAAAAAAATCCAAAAAACTGAGGCTAGTATAAGCAGTCTCTGGGACAAACTTCAAAGGTCCAACATTCGCGTTATAGGGGTGCCAGAAGAGAAAGATCAAGAAATTGAAAATCTACTTGAAAAAATGATGAAAGAAAACTTCCCTCATTTGATGAAGGAAATAGACATGCAAATCCAGGAAGCACAGAGAGTCCAAACAAGATGGATGCAAAGAGGCCCACTCCAAGACACATCACAATGAAAATGCCAAAGGTTAAAGATAAAGAGAGAATCTTAAAAGCAGCAAGAGAAAAGAAGTTAGTTACCTACAAGGGAATTTTCATAAGACTGTCAGCTGATTTCTCAAAAGAAGTTTTGCATATTAGAAGAGATTGGCAAGAAATGCTCAAAGTTATGAAAAGCAAGGACCCAGAACCAAGATTGCTCTACCCAGCAAAGCTATTATTATTTAGACTCGAAGGCCAGATAAAGAGCTTCCCAGACAAAAAAAAACTAAAGTAGTTCACCACCACCAACCCATTATTATATGAAATGTTAAAGGGACTTAATTAAGAAAAAAATCAAAACTACGAATTATAAAATGGCAAAAAATACATTATTTAACAACAATTGAATCTAAAAAACTAAGTAAATAAGAACAGAGAAAGAATCATGGACACAGAGGGCATTCTGATGGTTGCCAGATAGTAGGGAGGCTTTGGGCGAATGTGTCAAGAGGTGAGGGGATGAAGGGGTACAAATAGGTAGGTACAGAATAGCCGTGGGGACATAAAGCACAGTACAGGAAATGGAGTAGCCAAAGAACTCATAGCCCTGAGCCACAGACATGAACGATGACACATGGATTCCCTGAGGGAGTGGGGATGTGCTGTGTTGGTGTGGACAAAGACAAAGGGGGAAAAATCAGGACAACCGTAATAGCATAATCAATAAAATATAATTTTAAAAAAGAAACAAATATCACAATCTAGCTATTTTCTAGTAAGCTAGATAGCAAAAAGATTTGCAAAATCTGACATGATGCCCTTTTCCTCAATCTTTTTGAAAATAATTATTTTTCACTAATCTTATTTATCTTAACATAAGTGAGTTTACTTTTAATGAATAAATATTAACATCTCCATTTTAATTTCAAATACAGTATATACCAATAGACTTAAGACACATGATTAAAAAAGCTCTTCAGGGTCCTCAGACCAAATGTTTTGCCCTGTTCAATGGTCACTTTCATTTCACTTCCCAAAATGTCACAAGTTCTGAGTGGGGCAAAAATGCAGTACACATTTCTTTTCGGAAGGTTAAAAATCACCGAATTGTCCTTTAAAAGTTTGAACTATATGGTATGTGAATAGTATCTCACTGAAACTTCTTTAAAAAAATTATGACAGATCAAATTTATAAGGAAAAACTATTCATTTCAAGTGATCACATTAAATAAATCAATAACACATCTATAACAAATCAGTGACCTACAAATATATTATGACTAGATAATGAATGTTACATAACCAGGAACTAAAAACTAAGCAACAACAAATGTTTAGGAAAAAAATTGAGTACAATTTCCACAAGACAAAAAAACTTACCTTCCAAGAGTTTTTGACATGATATATTTATCTCTTAATTCCTTGGGATAAACTGATTGATCATCTACAGTCAGATCGAAAAATACAAAAACTAAGGGGAAAATGGCAGAAATAGGTCTCATTAATTCATTAGATAAAGAAAAGATGAGTAGTCCTAAACTGTAGTTAATATATGAAATATAAGACAATTGTTTTAATTACATTTAATACCTAAAGATAAAGAAATTATTTAGCTAGGCTAAAACATATCATAGAAGCTATAGAAAACTGTGACAAAAGTCATGCTTCAATGGCAATACACAGCATCATTGTCACTATAGTGCATAAAATCCACACATAAATACAAGTCTTATTTCAGGACCTCAGAATATTAATCAATTGCATTAATATAGAATACCTGTGCAGATTACAAAAGACCACAACCTAAAAGCAGTAACTTTCAGCCTCAGATAAATAAACCTGTTCAAGGCAAAAAACATCCCAGTAAAAATTAAGCTGTAGATTATTACACTAGAATTATCTTCTTTTAGCCATTTACACCTTTATAGATCAGTATTTATTGTGCAGACCATATCAAATCTACTTGTAAAGTTAAATAAATAGCACTTTCCCAAAAATTCCCCCTTATTTCTTCATTATTTATGCTCTATTTCAGGAAAAGAAAACAACTGCCAAGAAAACACCCTACTTGCCCTGACCTGTGTGGCTCAGTTGGTTGGGCATCATCCTGCAAAGCGAAAGGTCACCAGTTCGATTCCCAGTCAAGGCGCATGCCTGGGTTGCAGGCCAGGTCCCCAGTAGAGGGTGTGCGAGAGGATACTAATCAATGTGACTCTTGCACATTGATGTTTGTCTCCCTCTCTTCTCCCTCCCTTCCACTCTCTCTAAAAATAATAAAATATTTTTCAAAAATTGTATATTATTTCTTAAACTTCAGTCACCTTCAAAGTACTCTCCATTTGATCCAAGGCACCTACAGAGACTTTTTTCCCACTGCTCAAACCGGTTTTTGAATTCATCAATTTTAATGTCTTTTAGTGTTTCTGCCTTTTTTTGTTTTGCCTCTTCCACACTGGCACGATGTTTCCCTTTGAGGACTTTTTTCATCCAGGGAAACAATAAAAAGTTGTTCAGGGTGAAATTGGGTGAATGGGGGAAGGGGGATGTGAGTCATGTTGTTTTGGGTCAAAAACTGCTGAACACTCAGTGTGGTGTGGGAAGGTGTGCTCGTAAATCACCCAGCATGAAATGGGCAAATGTGTTGAGTCTTCAAAAAAAAATCCAATGAAGCCAAACGCAGCCTCTCACCACAACGCCAGCGGGCACGCTAACACAGATGGGTTCCTCGAACACTCACCTAATGGGGGAAGCCCATATTACAAGGGGTCTGCCCTCCAAAAGGTAATTCCGATTTTTTGAGAGGGTCCTCCCTCGGTAGTCTACAAAGAACACAATGTCAATTTTCCTTTTTTTTAGTTTAAATACAGAAAGGGGAAGGAAGGCAGAAAGAGAGAAACATCAACATGAGAAGCACTGATCAGCTGCCTCTCATCCGCACCCCCACTGGGGACCAAACCCACAACCCAGGGATGTGCCCTGACTGGGAATAGAATCAGCAACCCTTAGCTCTGTGGTATGAGGTCCAATGAACTGAGCCACACTGGTCAGGGCTCGATTTTCCTTTTTACTGGAGGAAAAAGAATCCAACAACCATAAAATAATGAGTTACCTTTATTGTTCGACACTGAAAGCGCAATTTCAGAATTGTTACTCAAAGGAAGGCGTCTTCCTTTCCCTACAAGTTCTCTATTTACAAAGGTTCCATTCCCACTGTGATCTTCTATATATGCGATGTAAGAGTTTTTAGGACCCATTTCCTAAAATAGAGAAGATTTGATTTCAAAGTTTTAACAGAGGGTAGTTATCGTGAGAAGATATCAAAGAGTGATGACTAGATTACCAGCTCTTCCAAATATGTGGTTATTTGTCACCTACCCTGAAAATCCGAAAGTGCTTCTTGCTGTAAGTCCGATATTTATCTGTTCTTTTCAGCAGCGGCTCATCAAAGCAGTACTCGCAGGTTCTATCCCTCCCAAACCAGTAGTTGTCATTAACGCACTCTGCAACACCAAAGCACACACCAGAGAGCTGTTGAATGTCATGTATCAAACACCTTTCAAAATTGTTCATAACATTTACTAGTAGGAAAATAGCCTAAGAAGGCAATCAAAATGATAGATTTATCAACATGTTCGAAGATTAAAAATGAGGAGAAGAAACAAACATTTTCCAACACTGAGTTTAATAAATTATGGTTCATACATAACCATGAAATAACAAGCAGTCATTAAAAGTCCTCCAGATTTAATCATCTGGAAAAATACTTACGATATAATAATTTTCTACTCGGTCCCCTCCGGAGGCCTCCTATCAAACGCAGCGTATCTGCACTCCTTCTCAATGCGGCTAGATGCCCAGGACCTGGCCCTTCCTGGCCTCACCTTGTGCCCCCCATCCACTTGGCTCAACCCGCCAGCCCCCCTGGACTCCTTTCACAGCCCCACCTATGCCAGGCCCCACGAGCCATGTGATGGCCTTTGCATACTTTATTCCCAGTGACTTCTTTCCATGGCCACTTTGCCTTTGTGTCTGGACTCCAATGATCCCGTCCCACTCAGCATAAGGAGACTCCCGCCTCACCACACATCTGTTATTGTTAACAAGAGCCTGTTTCACTTCCCTCTAAGTATAGACCACAAGAGGAAATTATCTTGATTATTTGTATATCGTCTCCCAGCATCCCCCTGTTAGAACATAACATCAGGAGGGCAGCCTTGAGTCTCTTGTTTCAAAGTACAGCTGCAGCACCTAGGACAATGCATATGTTAGGCATGTAAACATTCCTGGAAAGACTAGAGAACATATTAGCAATTCACATCACAAAGAACTGATTTCCCTAATGTATATAAGTTGCTACAAATCAATAAGAAAAAGACAAGCAATCCAGTAGAAAATGATGAGGTACTGGTAGGTGTCGCTCAGTTGGTTGGACTGTCATCACGGGTTCAATTCCCAGTCAGGGCACATGCCTAGGTTGCAGTTTGGTCCGGGTCAGGGAACGGCCCCTCGGGGCGCAGTCACGGTTGGGGTGTGTGTGAAAGGGTACCAATGTTTCTCTCTCACGTCAATGTTTCTCTCCCTCTCTATCTCTCTCCCTCCCTCCCACTCTCTTGAAATCAATGAGTGTGTCCTTAGGTGAGGATTAAAAGTGTGAAAGGCATATAGAAACAAGTTATAAGAGACAGAAGCACAAATGTCTTAAACATATGACAAGGTGGTCAAGCCAACGCAATACAAGACTTTGTAAAAATTTATTTATTTACTTATTTTTAGAGAGAAGGGAGGGAAAAAGAGAGGGAGAGAAACCTCCATTTGTGGCTGCCTACCACACTCCCCTTACTAGGAACCTGGCCAGCAACCCAGGCATGTACCCTGACTGGGCGTTGAACCGGTGACCCTTTGATTCACAGGCTGGAACTCAATCGACTGAGCCACATCAGCCAAGGCTCAATACAAGAGATTTTAAAAACCAAAAATACATTAAGATTCCATGTTCCAATGATCAGATTAACAAAAATCCAAAGGCCCATATTATACTATGGTCATGAGAATTATGAAGCAGCAGCTACTCTCATAAACTGCCACTTGGAATATAACTTTACAGCATCTAGGGAGGATAATTTGGCAAGATCTATCAAAAATCACATAGGCAACCACTTCACACCCATGAAGATTGCTATAATTTTTTTTCCAAAAGGAAAATAACAAGTATTGAAGATGCAAAGCACCTGGAACTCTCATACATCCCTGGTGGGAATGTAAAATGATACAGCCTCTGTAGACAAGAGTCTGCAGTTCTTCAACACTTCAACTGTGGTATATGGCACAGGGTCAGGTCTTAGCACAGGTGCTTGTAGTCCTGGGTCAACTTGTACGGGCCCTACGACTGGCAGCGTCTTGAGCTTTCTAATGCAACAAATATCTGTACTTGTTTTTCTGAACGCCATACTAATATCACCCGATATAACAAAGGGTCTTACCGAGATTGGAGAATCCATCCTGAAGGGCCCATAATCGAGCCCAAGGGGCAGGGGCAGGCTCCTCCGGTTCTTGGTCCTCAGGAATAGAATACAGTTCCTGAGTGGACACTGTGTCCAGGGAGCTCAGTGTCCCTGAGCTGGAGTGAGATGACTGGCTGGACGTTGGCACTGTGCTGGTTGAGGAGCTGGTAGAGGATGTGCCCTGGGACTGTGAGGAGCCGCCTGGTGTCTGTGAGGAGGGGCCTTGGGACTGTGGGAAAACACCTGGTGACTGGGAGCAGGCGCCGCTGCCCTGGGACTGCTGGTACTCCACGTCTGGCTCCTGAGACATCACGACCTCAAAAAGTAAGTAGCCAACAATAAGGTGAGCTTCGAGGAAGAAGACTTAAGAGTACGGGAATAAAAGATGAGCATGTTGTAATGGGCAAAAAAAAATCCAGGACAAGCATGCTCTGCAAAAATTAAAATTCTAACAGTCTAGACCTATAGTTTTGGGCTGAGTTTTTCATGTGATCACTTTCTCTAGATCAGGGATTTTTGTTTTGTTTTGTTTTTTTGGTCTGATAGCCACAAACCGCAGGGGAAAGAAGCAAAAAAAAAAAAAAATTATTCAAAGGCTATAATTTTAAAAAGTAATGAAATGGAGTTGAGGAGGGGGGGAAAGATTTAGTTTGCATTCATCCAGTCTCTAAAAATTAGAAATAAAACCTAAAATGTATTCATTAACACAACCAACACTACTCTTAAATGTCACATTTGTTTGGAAAGAGAAAGGAGAAGGGTCTGGTGGCTATGGGGTGGCAGATAGGCAAAGAGAAACCTCAGTTACTTGTTGCACCACTGCGGGGGTGGGGGCATTTACATAAAAGGCCAACGGTGCTCCTCCTCCCCCAAAACAGCTCCGGAAGGTAAGGACCAAATTCTGTTGGCTGATTAGAGATTCCTTAACGGCTAAGTGCAGGGCCACTTAAAGAGTCAGACAGAACACAAAGAGTGCTATAAACAACTCTACCTAGTCTTTTATGATGCTAAGTAACTAGAGGAGCATCTTTTCAGCATCCAAAAAGGCCTGCCAGCCCTTCGGAATCTTGCAGGAGCCAATCTTTGAGCCACAGAAGACCCTAACAGAGGTTCCCACCCTTGCTTTAGAATTAACCGATAGACAGTTAAACTCTGATAACAACCTACAGTAAAGTCAAAGTAACTTTCAAACCCCTAACTTTAAGTCCCTAATCTGACCCTCTTTAAAAGCTACTTTCTCTCCAAATTCCCAAATTCAGACTACTCCCAGAGAACATAGTAAGCAGTACTCACACTGACTGCATTTACACAGCTTTCCAAATACTAAAGTCCTGATGAGTTTTCCTTAAAGCAAAGGAGGAAGGTGATGCCAGAGCTGAGTCTGCTACTCCAGCTGCATTGATACTACCTCAGCCAGGCCGTGTTCTTCTGCAATTTTTTGAGAGAGACTTCACCCTGAAAACTGGCAAAAGACAGTGTGTCAAGAGGTCGCTATCATCCCTTATGATAAATAAGGGTCAAGCAGGTGGGGACCACACTAGCCTCAGCCACGAGTACCTCAGCCAGGAGTGGTTAGAGGCAAATAGGTCTGCAGTCAGACGCCTGAGTCAGATCTTTGCATGACCTTTAGGTAGATCGCAACCTCTTGGAACCTTATCTGATAAAAGTAGATACTGAGGGTTAAATGAAAAATGATGCACGGAAGCTCCTCCCCCACCAACGCTTGATAATTGGGAATTATCAAGATATATCAATATCAGTATCAATATACTAATCCTCCCACCGAATTCCAGTCCCATAGCATCCAACAGCACTTTACAAGTGCAACACATTTTTTTTTTTTTCCAAACTAAAGAAGCCAAGGAGGACTGGTGCCTTCCCACCCTCTCCTCGCCACCCCATTACACACACTTACTTGTGGACGCTTGAAGGGAATTCTACACAGGTCAGTGTGTATCCTGCCCCTGCAGCGCGTAGCAGAAGGCTCTCGATAGGTATGTTCGAGATTGAACCTAAAGTACGGTAATATTTGCTGACATTTATAGAACTCTCCACAAAGCAACTTCGCTCTGATTTTGAAGAGTACAACTTTGCTGCTTCTTTTGCTGCACGTCTGGGCCAGCTTCTCCTTGTAAGTAACGGGGGAAATGAACTTCACCTGGAAGTTCATCTACAAAGAAGGAAGAGAGTCGCCCACACACTCCTCTCCAATCTCACCACCTCCCCCGCCGCGGGGCTCAAAAAGGAAGACAAAGCGGAAGGTCGGGCGATTCAGCTCACATTAAAACGCTCAGGTCGGGATTCGAACTCCCAAACACCCAAGAAAAGTTTCCCCCTTAAAACTCACCGCGTGAGCCCACCTGGAACCACACACTCTCAGTACCTGCAGCTCGCGGCGTGGCGCTAAACAAATACAAACTTCACTCTCAACCAATCAAAACACCCTTCCGCTGCTGCGGCTGGACCAATGAGGAGCAAGGGCTGTCCAAGCGTAGCTGGGAGTTGTAGTTTAAAACGTAGAGCGGGACTCACAATCCAAGTTTCCCCCGAGTGGTCCCGCCCCCTCAGCGTTCCAGCCAATCAACAGCACTAATCTGGTTCGGCGGCTGTCTCTCGGTTTACCCAGCCCGATCGACTACGGCGAAAAAGGCCGACTGCCAGATGTTGGGTGGGAGGATCGGGGCCTTGCCCCGGGTGGCAGGGGTTTGGCTGACAGGGGTCCTCAGAAGGAAACCACTAAGCTGCAATGCTGCGTCACTGAAAGGAAACAACTCCCCCCAGTGTTGGAACTGCGGCGGCCCAGGGAACCTCATTCGTGGGAACGGGTTCTTCTGCCCACAGTGCCGGGCGCTGCAGCCACCTGACCCCACTAGAGACCACTTCAGCCTTATGGACTGGTACGGGAGGCGGTTTTGGGAAAGACGCAGGTCAAGAGAGACGTGAGGAGCTGTCGTGCGAGGGAAGGGCGGATCAGATCTGGGGAAGAAGGTGGGACTAGTAGATAGGTGGGCGGAACCCTCTACCAAGGGTAGAGGAAGGGGTTTAGGAGAAGGGAAGATGGAGTATGACCTGGGAAAGAGAAAATTGAATAGCGACCCGTAAGGGATGGAGACTAGAGTGGAGGGAGGACTGGAGTTGCAGAGAATAAAGTTAGAGAAAATCGAGTGCCAGAGGCTACAGAGAGGGAGACTTGAGGGGCACGGCTTGAGGGAAGGGTTACTCGAAGAGCCCTATTAGAGAAAGGATGAGCTTAGAACAATGAAAGCTGGGTTAAAACTTTTAAAGAAGGGAGTACCGAAGTATTATCCAAAATAAGGCAGTAAAAACACGGAAAACTCAACATGGTGGGCAGAGTCTAAGGGAAATGTAAGAATTGGAGGGAGAGTATCTGAGAAATGAGTGTTTTTCCTGTTCCTTCAAAGGTTGAGGAGCTTGAAGAGGTGGTGAAATTTGGAGAGAGAGAAACTGATTAGATAGGGCAGGCTCTGGGAATGGAAATCGGAAAGGGATTGGATGAAAACACCTTGGGTGACAGATGAAGGGACGCCGTGGCCTTGGAAAAATTTGGTAGTGGGACTTGGTAATGCCCCTTCCCCTAATCTCTGGGATCTGCCCCCACCAGCCATTGAGCAATTATGATGGACTGCGGTAACAAAACTCTTTTAAGGTTCTCAGGGGTGCCAAAGTAGCGTGTTTCCTCTGTGTAGATGACTCTCCTGTCATTATCTTCATTATCATTCAGGTCGCAGCTCAAATGCCATCTCTTTGTCCACAGCATCTCCCAGTCTCTCTGACCCTATTCTGATTTTCTTCAAAGCACCTACCAATTTTGGGAATTATCCCTGTCTGCATGTTTATTGCATATTCCCCCATGGGAACAGGAACCAGGCCCATAGTATACAAATCTAGAAATATTTGATGCATGAATTTTATCTCCCAATTTCCTTCCAGCAACCGATCCTTCAGAGTTGATACTGCAAAGCTCCAGCGTAGGTACCAACAACTGCAGCGTCTTATCCACCCAGATTTCTTCAGCCAGAGATCTCAGGTAGTCAGTCCATTGGCCATCCTTAATCATACCCAAACATGTGTGCGTTCTGAGTGGGTGGCTGTGGTTTTGAAGTTATTTGATTCTCCAGGACAGAGCTGGACAGCCAGCTCCACCCTGTGGCAGCCAGCTGGGCCCTGGACCTGCCCTGTAGAATTAGAACCCATCCATGGAAGATAAATACAGCTCATCCCACACCAGTTCCATTTTGGCCACTTCCTTAGGCCCCTGCCAATCAGTATTTTATGAAACAGTTTGTTAATGTAAGATGGCTGCTTTGGATGGTAATAAGACTGTCTTCTTCTCCACTACAGACTGAAAAGGACTTCTCAGAGAAGCATTCAACCCTGGTGAATGATGCCTACAAGACCCTTCTGGCCCCCCTGAGTAGGGGACTATACCTTGTAAGGTGATTTCCCAACCCTTCTATGAGTGACTACCTGGTGTCCATTGCACTAAGGCAGGGTGTCCAACCTTTTGGCATCCCTGGGCCACACATTAAATACATTGCGACACATAATCACAAACAATTTCATACTGTTTTAACTAAATTTACAATTTTGTGTTGGGCTGCATTCATAGCCATCCTGAGCAGCATGCAGCCCGTGGGCTGGGGGTTGGACACCCCTGCTGCCCCCCTGTATTCAGCAGAGAAGTACTTGAGCCCTGAGCCAATTCAGGGACCAAAAGATACTACATAAGTATATTTTTCTCTGAATATTGTCTGTAAATCTTACTTGCCTAATTGCATTTTTTAAAACCATTTTCTATACATTTCAATGTTGTATGGAGATGGCTTTAAGGAAAGTAATTTGGGGGGTTTGGGCGGAAGGTAGAAATGAGTACCTTAGAATTTTAGGATTTAATAGAATCTTTACAAATACCTAGTTCAAACTCACAAGTGAAGGAATGGCTCCCTTGGGGTCACACATTTCTAAGTAGCAGAAAGAGATCCCGTCTAAGCATTCCTTTCTCAGTCTGAGTCTCCAGCACACTGCCCTCACACTTTCATTATTAGGATAGTTCACGTTTTCCCTGAGTAGTATCCTGTTTGGAAAGGTGAGTAGGATTTATGATGTTGACCACAGTTTCTTGAACACAACTTATTTCCCCTGCTTTGTTCCCCAATAGCTGAAGCTCCATGGAGTAGAGATTCCTGAAGGAACAGATTATGAAATGGACAGGCAATTCCTCATGGAAATAATGGATATCAATGAAAAGCTTGCAGAGGCTCAGAGTGAAGCTGCCATGAAAGAGATTGAATGTATTGTCAGAGGTAAAAGATAAAATACCACCAAAAGCATTTTATTATTATGAGTGTTTTCCCATTAAGTGAAAAATGAATATAAAGAGTACATATTGGTCATCGTAGTGATTCAGGGAGTATCTTTTTCTTGGGTATACTGAAACCAATTTTGTCTGGAGATTAGAGCTGTAACATCCCTCCCTCTTTGGAATGCAGCCTTTTTTAATATATCACGAGTCTATTTAAATGGAAAAATTAAGATAATGGTTTTTCTCTTTCAGCGAAACAGAAAGAATTGATTGACAGTGTGAGCAGAGCTTTTGAACAAGGTACTGTCTTCATTTCTTTTTCTTTTTAATTTTTTTTAAAGATTATATTTTTTGAGAGATGGGGAAGGGAGAGAGAAAGAGAGGGAGTGAAACATCAGTGTATAGTTGCCTCTAGCACACCCCTACTCAGGACCTGGCCTACAAGCCAGGCATGTACCCTGACTGGGAATTAAACCAGTGATGCTTTGGTTCACAGGCCTGCGCTCAATCCACTGAGCCACACAAGCCAGGGCTTGTCTTCATTTCTTGACATTCTCAAATATAGAAAGAATTATAAGCACTGCTATACAAATATCCATTCAGCAAATAGCTATTATGTACTCATCCTATGATAGTTACATAGGGATGTGTTAAATACAGAAGAGTGAACATTTTTGCCTTCAGATTCCCAGTCTTGCCGGAAATAGAAGCTGTGTACCAAAAGTCATCATGTGCCAGTGAAAGATTAGATGAGAGAAAGTCCTTTCATTCCCCTTTAACAAGTAGGAAAAAATGGGATGAGGGATGTGGGCTGAAACCAACACAGGTAGGTTCTGAGGGCAAAGCTGCACATTCGCCGTTTGATGAGGCTTGCACACCCCGTTTTCTGCAAAGCCCAGCAGAGGCCCATAGCAGGGCACTGCCCAAGTTACAAATGTGGAATGTTCATCCTTGTCCCCACTGTCCTGGCTCTCAGATTGAAGAGACTGTGTTCACTGCTACCTGTTTTTAAGCAAGAAAAACCTTTCAATCCATTCTTAATGGGCATCACCCCTTAATTAACTGAGAGATAATAGTCCTTTAGCATAGGGTTCATTTTAATGCAAGAAGCAGAAAGCCACTCAGGGTAGCCCAGATAAAGGGAAATTATTGTAAGGAATCAGGGCCACCTCCCAGAATCTAGAGAGAAAGTCCTGGCAATGGTTATAGTACAGTGTGATAAGAGCTTTTCTGGGACAGAAGCTGGGAACCAAAAAGCAGCCTGGAACCAAGACTGGCCCTTGACTCATTGTCCCTTGTACTTCATTCCATCCTCTCCTCTCTAAAAACCACTTCTATGTGCTTCTTTATTGGTATATAGTGCCCTAAAGTGGCCTCTCCCAATGGATAACTCTTTAGTCCTCCTCGGTCTATTACCTTATAAGAATAGTCAGACAGCCTTTCACCATCTGACTATAGTGCCCTAGATTTCTGGGAGAGGGAATTTGATTGGGCCCAGCTTTAGCCAGTGTCCAATCCAGTACAGTCAGCTAAGGCCATGGGGATAGGCTTACATGTGTGCTGCCTACTTTGCAAAGACTATAGGGGTTGATTCTGAAAAGCAGGCACAGGGAGGGTCTCTAAAAAGCTGATGAGAAATAAAGATTAACAGCAGAAAAGACAGGAACCCCACGTGTCTGCCGGAAACCCATATCACCCAGTGCAAAGGCTAAGATGGTCAGATTGTGTTCCACCAGGGCCCACCCTCAGCTCCTGTTGTGCCTTTGTATACTTTTATTTATTGTTTAGATATAAAATACAATTTTGAAAAAGAATGTGTAATTACAATTTAAAAGATAATAACAGAACAACACCTACGTCCTCACCACCCAGCTTAAGAAATAGAATGTGCAAATAAGATATATAAATCAGCACTTCAAAATGTTCTGACCATTACTAACCATGAAGGAAATAAAAATCAAAGCCACAGTGAAATACCACCTCATACACATTAGGATGGCTACTGTAAATTTTTTTCAGAAATGTAGAAAATAAAGTGTCTTGGCAAGGATGTGGAGACGTTGGAACCTTTGTGCACAGTTGTTGGGAATGTAAATTAGTGCGGCCACTAAGGAAAACAATATGGCATTCCCTAAAAAGTTGAAAATAGAATTGCCATACAATTCGGCAGTTCCACCTTTGGGTTTATACATAAAGAGTTGACAGCAGGGACTCAAAAAGATATCTGTGCACTGTCAAAGGCAAACAGATACTAGTTAAAGCAGAAAGATTCGAATCGGTAATAATTATTGCAATAGGGAAGAGTCCAGCATGAACTAAACTTTGATTTGTGACTGGGCATTTTATTTTATTTTTTATTTTTACAGTCGTTTTTTGTTTTAATTTTTTGTTGTTGTCATGTGACTAGGCACTTTGAAGAGAGGATGAGGAAATAGGGAAGGGGTGCACAGGGGCTAAGCAGAGTCAGGGAAGTGGAAAATTCCAAAAAGCGGGAAGGGGGGGGAGTTGGTTCACATGAAATAGATCTGGATTTGCTAACTAGAACTTAGAAAATTAGGCTTCTACCCTCCCACAGAGCCTGGGAGACAGGTGCCCTGTCTGCACATGTTGGCTGGAACAAACAGTCAGAAAGTGACAGCAAGAATAGATATTCTTTCCTCTGGACAATATAAATCAATTTCTCATCTGATTGCCTTTTGTTTGTTAAGGACTAGCTGAAGCATCTGTGGAGATGATATTTAGAGGACATTTGTTGAATAATGTGAGCAATCAAGCATTTAATGAGCATCTCTATAGAAACAAAAAGAAAAACAAAGATAACTAGTTGCAGCAGAATATAAACCCATGTTCTGAGTCAAGCATGAAGCCACTTGAGAAAACACTGAACTCTTAAGCATTTTTAGATGGTGACATGAGGGTGGCAGCGGCAATCCGATGGATTTCCTGGTTGATAGTTTGAGTGTAGCAATGGCAAAGATATCATTGCCACAGTCGTGGTTACTTCCCAGAGCAGAGCATGGAACATGCAGGAGTTCTGAGTGGCCCATGTACCAGTAGCTCTAAGTTACCAGGCTTCAGTTCGTGGGACTTTCTCAGATTCTGGAGGAAAGGAGCAACTACAAGAGGACCTAAGTCCCAAAAAGGATCTAGGCAGTCAGGTCTTAGTCCTTAGTGACACCAAGTTAGGAGGGAGGGTGAAAAGTTGGAAAGATCAGTTTGTAGAGCTGTGGCCAGATATCGAAGGAAACTAGAAGAATTGAGGATTTAGTAAGGACTGGCAAAATGTGTAAGATGGCAAGATCCAGTTCAGTTTACAGGTAAATAAAACTTTGAAGATAATGAACAAGTCCACAAGAGTGTGTCATACTTTTCCACTGAAACATAAAATTTCCCTCCACAGTCACCCCCCTTTGTAATCAAAGATAAAGTAAAATTATTTTTGTTTAAAAAATAGTTTTAGTTTTCATTAAGTTTGCATTGATTATTTATGTAACTCCAGCAAGAATGGTAATTGACCATACAGGCCTGTTTAAGTTTTCTTTATGGAACTTTTTATAGGGAATCTCAGGTTGGTCTTTAAAAGCCTCTCAGGGCTAGGAAGTCAAGCCAAGCATCTTCTTTCAGGCATCACCTTCAGTGGATGAATTCCTCTCTTTTCAAAGTCCCTGAAATATCCTGTTACCTTCCTGTTACCAGGAAGTTACCTTACTTACCCACTGTAAGGCTGAGACCTCTCTAAGCCAGATACCAGGCCAGTTTTTTCAAGAGGGTTTTGTAAGCACTGGATGCAAAGAGTCAGCCTTAGCTCCTTAAAACTGTCTGGCCATGTCCAATTTTATTCTTCACTTTCAAATGTGGCATCCCAGTCAAAACCTTTATAATTCTATTCCAAACAGGACAGATTCTTATGAAACCTATACAAATAACTATATTGCTATGAAAATAAATAGTCAATAATAGTTTCCAATTTTTTGAGGGATTGGGCAGGGAGAAAAGGAGGTAGCTTAAGAGAAAATGGAATGAGATTTTTTTTTATATCTGGAAAATAGGGCATTTAAGAGCCAGCAATATTTCAAACAAAAAATATATTAAAAAATTATAGTCATCCGGAACAGTGTGAGTCCATTGGTTGGGTGTTGTCCCTCAAAGTAAAAGGTCGCCAGTTCAATTCCCAGTCAGGGCACATGCCTAGGTTGCAGGCTTGGTCCCTGGTGAGGGCATGTACAAGAGGCAGCCAATTGATATTTCCCTCTCACGATGATATTTCTCTCCCTTTCTCTCTCCCTCCCCCTTTCTCTAAAATAGCATCTTTTTAAAAAATATAGTCATTCTTAAGTGACTATAATTTATCAGTTAATTCAGTCCCATGTAATTAATTTTATTCTGTTTGGTCTTGGGTTAACAGTTTCATGAACCCATTGGCTTTTAGAAATCCTGACTTAGTTTACTGGTTTGATTTCAAAGTTATTCAGCAAATGCCATCAGAAGCCTGTTCCCCAGGGTACCTGGCACAGTCCTTTTTCGTGGGTCTTCCAGACAGTCCCTTTTTGTTAAACACAAGTAGTCTGGCCTGTGGCTGGTTACAGTAGCTTTTAGGAAAGCATTAGAGTAAAACATCTATCTATGGATAAGAAAAGATTTAAAGTGACCATAGTTAAAGATGTGATGAAAGTTCATTCAAAAAATAACACAGCTGCCCTGGGTGGTATAGCTCAGTGGATTGATTGAGCACGGGCTGTGAATCAAAGGGTCGCTAGTTCAGTTCCCAGTCAGGGCACATGCCTGAGTTGCAGGCCAGGTCCCCAGTCAGGGCATGTGAGAGGCAACCACACGTTGATGTTTCTTTCCCTCTCTCTCTTTCTCCCTCCCTTCCCCTCTCCCTAAAAATAAATAAAATCCTTTAAAAAAAATAACACAGCTGACAAGGAAATTTGGTTGTTTCTGTGACATACACATTTTAAAATAATGACTGGACTGATCACATTATACCAAGACATATTATGGATAGTGATGGCACAGACAGATTCTACAAATTACACAATTTCTGAAATAATAACATTTTACCCATACAATTATCACCTAGGGAAGGTTAAGTATCTTTTCTTTGATGCTGCTTCTCACGTAATTTAGTATATCAAATACACCTAATTTGTTTCACGTCTCTCTTTTTATAAGGTGAGAGAACAAAGCTTTTGAAGTGTTCCAGGGACTCTCTTGGAAACTTCAAACTCAGTTCAAGTTCAAGAAGACTTTATTTAGAATTTGATTTGGGAAGTTGTCAAAAATATCAAAAGGTTTGAAAATTTAATTAAGTAGGATCATAGTTCATTTTGAAACAATACTAGTTACTTATTTAACCAAAGTGGCGATAAAAGATTTCAAAGACAAATATAGGAGGTAAGAAGGGGGGAGAAACCTTAGCTCTTTGAACAGTAAGATTTGGTTCTCTTCAGTAATCAAGGCCATGATAAGGACGACATAAAGCACAGGAAATTTTTTGAGAAGACACAGAATACATGTTTTAGTTTCCAAAAACTAAAGAAATGCCTCTTAAAGTCTTTTACTAAGAGCAGACCAATAATCCAAGCAACTTTGTAGTTTTAACAGAGAGAAAACGGAACTCTGGTCTATGTGAGTACACTTTATATATAAATCCACTTAATCTTAGCCAGCTTTGACAACATAAACACTTCCTTTTCCACAAACATACATTTTTTAATGCCCATTCAGGTTTTATCCAGCTCTTTCACATTCTACTTTAGGACAGAAACCACTTTCTTCTTTATCTTAACAGAAACACATTTCTCCTTTCCTTGCATACTTTTTGAATAAAAACACATCCTACTTTTCTTCCATACTTTGTATACAAAGCTGTTTCCCTTCACTCTTATTGTTCGTAGTAGTTTTGTTTTTATACATTGATTATAAATTTAACTATTAGTAATCCTTATTTTATAGAGAAAACTGGGAAGTAGACAATTGAGAACTATTATATACCAGAATTCTATAAGCAGATTAGCAAATTTTGTGAATATACCCTCTCACAATCTCTAGAGATATATGCTTTTTATAATACATTTTTTAATGTAGTGAGAACATGTTTATTAACAGACCCAAATATCTTTGGCTTCTCTAGACCATATAAAATAAGAAGCCAAAGTATATAAACTTAAACTAATGCTTAATAAAACTGTATCTTATTTAGACATTAGATACTTAATGAATGTCTATTATTTAACTTAGCTTAACATATCTCTAAGTTTGTAAATTGCCAAAAAGATTTTTGAAAAGACTTTTAGGTGACTAATTATAAAACACAATTATTGCCCTTACTGGTGTGGCTCAGTGAATTGAGCACAGGCTTGCAAACCAAGGGGTTACCAGTATGAATGGTAACTGGTAAGGGCACATGCCTGGGATGCAGCCTGGGTCCCCAGTTGTGGGGACTAATGAGAGGCAACCACACATTGATGTTTCTCTCCTTCTCCTCCCTCCCTTTTACTCTGTCTATAAAAATAAATAAAGTCTTTTTTAAAAACCTACAATTATCATTGAAATAGTTTTTCAAAATAATTTAATTTGAGTAATATCAATTTTATCATTTCTATAACCTTAACTATCTAATATAATATTAGTGGATTTGACTAGTAAACCCAAGTAGAATAAAAACGTTTGTTTGCATTGTATTTACTGTTGGCAACTCTGAAGACATACCTATTTTATTAAACCAACAATATCAAACTAAGTCTTATTTACCAAAGATTTATCTAAATTATGTGAAATTGAAAAACATTTGAATTAGTTCCTATATTTCTGGATATTTTAGGACGATTTCATTTATATAAATCTTATTTCGCTCTAAGCCAGTTAGCATACAACTCATCCTTTTTTTTATTTTTTTTTTATCCTCACCCAAGGACATTCTCTTTCATTGCTTTTAGAGAGTGAGGAAGGGAGGGAGAGAAACATCAATACGAGAGAGAAGCATCAATCAGTTACCCCCCATACTCACCCGAACCTGGGACTGAACCCACAACCTTTCAGTCAGGGGACGACGCTCCAACCGGAGGAGCCACACTGGCCAGGGCAGGATACAAGTCCTTGAAGGAGTTTTATAAATTAATTTGGTAATATACCACCGGGAGGTAGGAAAATATCATTTATATATGTAAACATAACAGACCGGCCAAGGCAAATAGAGATCATACGGTTTTCATTCTAAGGTTTTAGCCATAAGTCAGGCATAAATAAATACAATAATATAAAACTCATTAGTTTACATATAGAGTGGTTCTTGTTTTTGCTCCGTTTTGTGTATTTATCCGAATTGAGTTTCTGGCAATGGAGGAAGTTCAAAGTTACCTACTCGATATAAGGGCTGAAGCTTTCCACCAATATTTCTGGGAAAAAAACCTTCAAACTTTTTTTGTTTTGTTTTTGTCTTGATATGCAATCTTATGTAAGCTGTGGACTAAATGTCTGTGTTTTTTTTTCTTATTTAGCTTCCGATAGTTACTTTTGGGGTGCCCGAGCCCTTTGAGAGCCCCCAGTAGCGACAGGTAGTCCAAAGTTCCAGGAACTATAGGGAGTTGAGGGGTGGGAGTGGGAAGGGGAAGGTCTGGCAGGGTGGACAGAGCGGTGGAGGAGGTAGGGGCTTGAAAGCGGACATAGCAAAGGATGCAAGGGAGCTGAAGGGAAGATGGAAGGTGATAAAGGGGGAAGAAGGAGTGGGAGTGACGGGAAGGAGAAGTCTTGGAGGAGATAGTTTGGGGAAATCTTCAGTTTCTCAAAGAAGCCACAGAACTTCCAAGATTTCCTAGGTAAAGTCATACTGTCTAAGAAATGCACAGAGCACCACGGTGACGTACTACCAGCAGGAGTTGGACAAGGGAGGCTTCAGTCGACTGAGAAGTTCCCATGGAGGAGCAGACTCAAACAGAGAGAACAAAGAGGCCTTACAGGGAGCCAGGAAGAAGAACATTTCCAGCCCAGGAGTCAGTCCTCACTGGAAACAAGGAGCCAGGAAAAATTCTAGCCCAGCGGGTACCTTTCAAAAGCATCCTGGGACTCTGACCCAGCTTTAGAGTATACTCAGAATCCTTAAGCTCCAAATCTGTCCTCACTGTCCTTCAACAGAGGTTTACCTGGGGAACTGAAGTTGGACTCACCACAAGATACCCAAATGAGCATCAGACTAAAGATTAGGCCAAGGTCTCTGCTTGTTGAAAGGTCTGGTTGTTACTACCAAGAGCCTGATGGTGTTTTCAATCCAGATCCAAGTCACAGTGCCCGATAATTGTCAAAGATAAACAAAGCCAGAAATTCAAGTTCAAAGTACAGATTTTTATCAGTAATAACTGTTGCAATAGGGAAAAGAGTTCAGTGTGCCCTGGCTGGTGTGGCTCAGTGGTTGAGTGCCAGCCTGCAAATCAAAGGGTTGCTGGTTCAATTCCCAGTCTAGGTCACATGCCTGGGTTGTGGGCCAGGTCCCCAGTAGGGAGTGTGCAAGAGGCAACCACACACTGATGTTTCTCTCCCTCTCTCTCTCCCTTCCCCTCTCTAAAAACTAAAATAAATAAAATATTTTAAAAAAATAGTCCAGTGTAAACTAAACTCAACTTCAATTTGTAACTGGGCATTTTAGCAGGACAATGAGGGAATGGGGGTGAGAGCACAGGGGTTCCCTACAGGCAGGGAAGTGAGAAATTCCAAAAGCAGAAATGGGGGGCTTGGTCCGTGTGACACCCACCTAGGTTTGCTAACTGGCACTTACTGAAGTTAGGCTCCTACCCTCCCATGGAGCCTGGGAAATAGGGGCCCTGTCTTCAGGTATTGGCTGCAATAAATAGCAAATTTAGGGGCAGCCTTGAATTTACTCAGGCAGGCACTTTAAGAGAAGCTAGGATCATCCCAGGGATACAGGCCTGAGCTATTAGAAGCTATGTTAGTGTTTGTTAGTATAGGTCAAGGTCGAGGCCTAGTTAAGAAGAGCTCGGGAACCTGGCTAGAGTTTGGTCAAGAACAATTTTGGTTGACACCTGTGTTCATAGGATTTTTCACAATGGCCAACAGGTGGAAGCATCCCAAGTGTCCATCTATCAATAGTTGAGTGGATAAACAAAATATGGTGTGTGTGTATATGTACAATGGAACATCATTCAGCCCTAAAAAAGGCAGGAAGTTCCAATACATACTACAACATGGATGAACTTCAAAGATACTATGTTAAGTAAAATAAACTAGTCTCGAAAAGATAAATACCGTGTGGCTCCACGGACGTGAGCAGTCATACTCACAGAGACGAAATGGAACGGAGGTTTCCGGGTGTCGGAGTGACGGGTGGGGAGGAGGAGTTGGCGTTTCCCAGGCAGTGTTTCAGGTTTACAAGGTGAGAAGAGTTCTGTGGCTAAACGGTGGTGTGGGCTGCAAAACGATGGGAACATACTTAATGCCACTGAACACTACAGGTAAAAATGGTTACAGTGGTAAATTTCATGTTACGTGTATTTTGTCACAAAAGAATTTTTGTAAATACAAAAATAATAATAAAATGAATATAGAACATGTCCATTGCCTTCCAGTCCCCTGTAGGCCCTGTGCAATTGCATCCGCCTTCCACTGTAACCATGCTCCTGAATTTTGTGTTAATCATTCCCTTGCTTTTCTGGATAGTTTTAACCATATAGGAACATAACAGTATGCCATTTAGTTTTACATACATCTTAAGTCAGATTTTCTCAACCTTGGCACTACCAACATGTTGGCCAGGCAGAAGGGGCTGTCCACTATGCTGTGGGATGTTTAGCAGCTAAGTGCCCTAGACTCTCTCCACTAGGTGTCAGTATCACCTTCCCAGTTGAGACACTGTCTCCAGACACTGCCAAATGTCTCCCAGTAGACACACAAATCACCCTCAGTCGAGAACCACCAGTTTAAGGGCTTCATTCCCAGAACTGAGATACAGAGACAGTTCTTCCCCAGTTCTTCCCCGTCTTCCTCAGGGTTAAATCACCATGTGTGGTACAGGAAAGCTCTCGAAACAACCATTTATTATTTGGGAACTGCCCTGAAGAGAATTGGCTTCTCTTACTTAAAGTATGATCCCAGTAAGTAAGCATGCTTTTGTCTTTTTTAGATGCTGCCACCCCCCCCACCCCCCCTGCCCCTTAATAATCCAGGTGTCTCTTGGTCAGACATATTGAGTAATTGATCAGCCCTCCAGAGGCTGGGACTCAACTTGAATCTGGCTGCTTTAGTCGATAGACAGCTTTACTCTTGCTTGAGATGAAGTCTCACACTAATGTCTCTGTTTATTTCAGATGATTTGGAAAAAGCCAAGGAAATTTTAACAAAGATGAGATACTTTTCAAACGTAGAAGAAAAGATCAAATTAAAGAAGATTCCCCTCTAATTGTTGCTAGTTTTAAAGTTTTAAAAATAAAGTTCTTGTATATTTCTTGGCTGGCTTCTGCTCATTGAGACTGGATATGTTTTACCTGTGTATATCATCTTAATTAAACCTCTGGCTCAAGCATAAATGGATGGCAAAGTTTGTCATGCTGGCAGAGACGGCCTAGTCAGAGTTTGAGGGGTCAGTTTTTTCATGTGATGCTGATACACCATGTCCCCAGCTAGGCCAGTGGACGAGGAGGTGGGGATGGGCCCACGCAAGGCCCGAGGAGGGATTTGGCAAATTTCTTTTGCAAAGGGCCAGGTAGTAAGTATTCTAGCCTTTGTGAGCTTCATGTTGTAACTACGTAACTTGCCATTGTAGCACTTTACTTAGAAAACAGGCATTGAGCTAGATTTGGCCACGGGCTTGCCCACCTTTGCCCTAGAACCACATGTTCCTTCACTGATGGTCCTCTTGTTAGCATGGCCTTCCAGGCATCCTGTTTGGTAACCATGCAAAGCTGCCTAAGGAGTCTCTGGCCTACATTTCAAAATGTAGTTAATATTATCAAGAATCACTCTAGCATTAATCACTAACCACATTTTCAGGATTGAGTGCTGGCCTGTGAAGCAAGGGGTTGTTGGTTGATTCCCAGTCAGGGCACATGCCTGGGTTGTGGGCCAGGTCCCCAGTGGGGGGTGCGCAAGAGGCAACCACACACTGATGTTTCTCTCCTTCTCTCTCCCCTTCCTCTCTAGAAATAAATTTAAATTAAAAAAAAATAAACACTAACCACATTTTCAGCTCCACCTAGGGACAGAGCACGTTTAAGTTCTCTGTCAGTTGACATTTTCTCGTCCTGATTTCCATGCTCTTCTAACCCAACCTGAAGCAACTCCACTTCCCCTTTTGGAATTTGGGAAATTCAGTTTTAGTTCTTGATTCATTTCCAGAAAGAAAAAAAGCATTTTTTTTTTAAGTCTCTGGATCAAAGAAGATTAGAAGAGAAAATTCTGATTTAAAAATTCCAGCAAACAGTGTTCAAACTCTTGGAGAGAATTGCTTGTTTATAACTGTAAAAATTCAGGGTTTTGAATCACAGTGTACGTACCACCACAGCTTACAACTGCAGCTGTTTTGCATCCTTCCTTATCCTAGTCTAAGAATTTATATCTTCTGGATCCTGATCCAGTTATACTCAGTAATATTTGAGAACTTGTGGATCTTCTGAAGGAAAATTGACCAGAGCAGCTGTCTGGCTTAATGGGACTTGGGAATATCAGTCCAATCTCCAACCTCTCACGGTTTACAAGGAGAATGAGTTACTTGGTAGAAAACATACAAGGAGTCCTTTAAGTAAATAATTACAATGCAAGCACATGTGCTGATTAAATTTGGTTCTTCGGCAAAGAAGGAGATGAAAGGAGGGTTTGATACACTTCCCTAGACAGCCTTCGTTCCTTCTCCAGAACAGTGATCAGGACCAAAACCATCTGACCACAAAAAAGAACTCAGATAAATGTTGTCTCAAATGACATCTCTGGAGGAACTTCAAAGAAACACTCCCTCACCTGTTGCCTTCAACTGGAAAGGTCACTGGGCTTTCCAGTAAATTATTTCTGACTTGGGGAATAAAGAAAAAAGACTTTATTTCTGAGTCACAGCTTCTAAGTCAGTGGGATTACTTTTTTTCCCCTCTTCCAAATTCTTTCCCTTTTAGTCTAAACCCTTAAGTGTAGCTGGACTCCTAACGCCAAGAACACTTGAAAGTGTTCCCTGACCAAGCCCTATGGGAGGCGTGCTTCTAGATATCTGAGAGGTTAGCAGCCCTATTTGGATTAAAGCTTCTGACTCAGTGAAGCAAATGAAGCACCCACCTCCCAACCTCACATCGTTGCTAATACAGTATCTGAGCAAATCAGAGGTCTTCTCCACTTTGAGACTGTCCAATCTGGTGTCAGACAGTCATGGTGTTATGGACCACTTGCATTCCCCACCCCAAAAATTCCTGCGTGGAAGCCCTCACCCCCTCTTGTAGCTGTACTGACATGGTACCTCTATGGAAGTAGTTAAGGTTAAATGAGGTCATGAAAGCGAGACCCTGATCCTAGAGGATCGGTATCCTTATAAGAAAAGACACCAGAGCCCTGGTGGGGTAGCTCAGTTGATTAGA